ATTTATAGTTCACCTACAATCAAAGAGCATTCTGAACTCCACGAACGATGGAATTGAACCAAACTTGGCACACAGTTCTCCCATGACCAACAGTGATTGAATTGAACCAAACTTGGCACACAGAACTCCCATGACCAAGAGAAAATACTGAAAGGGTTTGGTGGACATTGACCTTGAGTTTTGGAGTCGTAGTTCACCTGCATCCAGAGACATGGACTCAAACAATGATGGATCTGGACCAAACTTGGCACAGATACTCAATATGCCCAAATGTGAACACTGGTGGAGTTTGGGGAAAATAGACCTTGACATTTGGGAGCTGTATTTGCAGGGATTTATAGTTCACCTAAAACGAAAGAGCATTCTGAACCCCAATAATAGAATTGGACCAAACTTCCCACACAGAAACCCCATGACCAACAGAAAATACTGTGTTTTCTGATAATTGAACCAAACTTGGCACACATAACTCCCATGACCAACAAAAAATACTGGAAGAGTTTGGTGGGCATTGACCTTGAGTTTTGGAGTTGTAGTTCACCTACATCCAGAAAGCACTGTGGACTCAAAAAATTATGGATCTGGACCAAACTTGGGACAATACTTGATATGCCCAAATGTGAACACTAGTGGAGTTTGAAGAAAATAGACCTTGACATTTGGGAGTTGTAGTTGCTGGGATTTATAGTTCACCTACAATCAAAGAGCATTCTGAACCCCAACAATGATAGAATTGGGCCAAACTTCCCACCTAGAACCCCCTGACCAACAGAAAATACTGTGTTTTCTGATGGTTTTTGAGACCCCTTTGATGCCCCCTGGTGAACCCTAGGGGTCCCGACCTGCAGGTTGAGAAACCCTGTTCTAAAGGCTAATGTCAAGGAGATATGACACAAGATGACGTTTATTCATTTTAAATATTTCTCCATGACCTTAAATCCAAAATGTCTAGAGATCTTTACAGCAATTAATAAACACACAAAAACACTAAGTTACTCCTAAAAACAACAACAACAACAACAACAACAACAACAACAACAACAACAACAACAATAACAACCCAGGGACGAAATTTGCAAGACATTAAAACCCTGAGGAAATGGAAAGGTCTTATTGACTTAATTAATGCATTTAAACTTCACTGGTTGACAAAACATCACCTTACAACAACTTGCAAAGACATAAATTACATGACAGGCCCTGCCCTCAGATTTACAATCTAAATTTTAAGACACATTACACTAAAAATAGCAGATATGCACTAACATCCTAAGGCAATATAACAAAAAACAAAAACAAACCCAAAACCAAAAACATAATATCTCGGAAATGACAGGTCAGGGAAAATTAAAACTGAATGAGATATTTTAAAATGTGAATGGCTAAAGGATATTAAATTAACAAGGTAACACAAACACTCTTTAGTCACTTGGTGAGAGTTGCATCAATATGTATATAAATGAGCAAGAATATCAGTGTGAGGAAATCTAACACTAAAATACCGCACGTGAAAATGAAACAGAGATAAGAAAATGAAAGTACATTTTAGAGAAAAACGATGAGATCAAAGCTGAAAGATATTCACATTCCTAACACAGTGTAAAAACCCACAATCCTATTGCTTAGGACCTCCCAGTTTTGTGACTTTTGGAGGTCACATGTTGACTACCACCCAACATTTCTCTAGCACAGTATAAATATCTGCCCCGTTCTACACTGCCATATAATCCAGATGCTCAAACCGTATTAACTGCTTTGAACTGGATTATACGAGTCTATATTGCCATATAATCCAGTTCAAAGCAGATAATCTGGATTTTATATGGCAGTGCAGAAGGGGTCTCTGTGAGCCATGATATGATACAGCCCTCATGCAAAATAGAAACACGATGCAAAACATGACAATAAGTGGGTGCTCATGTGCAATGAAGAAAGTACAACTATAATGTGCTACTTTAATGCATAACATCATTGTATATGCAATTCTACTTCTTTCATTGCCAGCAGAATTAATCTGTTGTACCATTCATCCCTGAGGTGTAGCATGACGTATATATTAGGCTTGGGTAACCACGGAAAAAAATGGTTCTAAACTTGTTTTGTTTTTAGGGGGCCCTTGCATTTCGTTTTTTTTAATAATTCTGAAATTTTCCTTTAAAAATTTCGAAATTTACGAAATTTCGTAAAATTACGAATCGATTCGTTAATGGCGGACGAGATTGCGCAATATGCTAAAAAAAACCTCCAAATGGGACAGGGGGAACTTCTGAAGCTTCCCTCTCCCTCTGTTGTTGACTGTTGGTGTGATAAAACACAACAACAACTATAAAACTTGCACCAGACATGCGAAAATAATTACGAAATAATTACAAAATAATTACGAAATAATTAAGAAATAAATTGAAAAAATTGTTTCGAATCTAATTTACTCCTCACACTATTCCTGCATGGCTCAATATTGGATCGTAAGCTAATTTAAATACGAATTAATAACGAATTACGAAATTAACGAACGAAACCGCCCAAGCCTAGTATATATGTATAGGTCACTAACATCTTCCGCATAACTCCTGTCTCCAGTCTTGTGTTCTCTCTAAGGACACTTGTAGCTGAATTGCTGTTCTCTCTGGGCGCTTCCAGATAGCATTAAATCACAGGTTTTAAACAGGGGCAAAAGTCCCAGGGCTTCAGAAGAGATCCACATACAGACCTGTTGATCCCAAGAGAATCACTGCAAAAGTTCAGTTCTTTATCTTGGTCAGAGAAACTGTGCCCTCCACATGTTTCATCAAGTTTCTGGCACACAAACAAAGAGACCAATCAGGAACAAACATCTAAAAGCCAGGAACAAACCCAGACAGAAAAAAAATCCCATGATTTTCAAGTGCAGGGACATACAGACATGCGAAAATCTACATATTCATCTCCAAACTGCTATATTCTCGAATCTGGAAATCTCGTGTTTTTTGCCTTTCGTAGCGATTGCTTCTGTGTTTACAGGAAACAGCATCTGGCCACCCTCCTTGTTGCTGTGGAACATCCTGGGGTAAATGTACTGTCTGGACAGGCCCTCTCTTGCACCCAAAGGTGTATTAACTAACAGACATGAGAAGTTCTGGCTGTCATTAAACACCAAGAAAACCAAAGTGCTTCTCCACTGGAGAGGGCCAATCCCTCTCCAGTGCCAGAAATACGGCTTAATGGTGTAACATTAGAAAATGTTGACCATTTCCGTTCCCTTGGCAGCCACCTCTCCACAAAAGTCAACATCGACACCAAAATACAACACCGCCTGAGCTCTTCGAGTGCAGAATTTTTCTGAATGAAACAGAGAGTGTTTGAGGACGGGACATCTGTAGGGATACCGAGGTGCTTGTTTATAAAGCTATTGTCCTCCCAACCCTGCTATACGCCTGTGAGACGTGGACAGTCTACAGACGTCACAAGAACTCCTAGAACGATTCCATCAGTGCTGCCTCCAGAAAATCCTACAAATCTCCTGGGAAGACAAGCGGACAAATGTCAGCATGCTGGAAGAAGCAAAGACCATCAGCATTGAAGTAATGGTCCTCCACCACCAACTCCGCTGGACTGGCCATATTGTCCAGATGCCCGACCACCGTCTCCCAAAGCAGTTGCTCTACTCCGAACTCAAGAACAGAAAGGAGGACAGGAAAAGAGATTTAGAGATGGGCTCAAAGCCAACCTTAAAAGCTCTGGCATAGACACTGAGAACTGGGAAGCCCTGCCCCTTGAGCGATCCAGCTGGAGATCAGCTGTGACCAGCAGTGCTGCAGAATTTGAAGAGGCACGAATGGAGGGCGAAAGAGAGCAATGTGCCAAGAGAAAGACATGTCAAGCCAATCCCGACCGGGACACCTTCCACCTGGAAACCGATGCCCTCACTGTGGGGGAAGGTGCAGATCAAGAATAGGGCTCCACAGTCACCTATGGACCCACCGCCAGGATACTACACTTGGAGGACCATCATCCTTGGAGTACGAGGGATCGCCTAAGTAAGTAAGTAACTAACAGATAATAGTGCACATCTTTGGACCTCCCAAAATGATTGCCCTTGCATGAACATTTCCGGCACTGCAACTAGTTTCCCGCTCTCATCTGCTCAAATGCCTTTGATCACTCAGACTTTAGAAAATGTATTTTTTTTCCTTTGATAAGAATCACCGGCTTTAAAAGAAGTAATAAATCTTTTCCTGGAGCAGGTGCCATTCCTTCTGCTGTCATGTTGTGAATTCTGCCTTGTGGTTGTTCTTTCTTGTAAATGCAATGATTTATATTCTGTAGATTAAAGTTGGCAAATGAAGTCTAACATTAATGTGTCTGGAGGAATGAAGTCAGATTGCAATCACTCAGAATGTAATGTACAGTTGAAACCATGGTTGGTCTTTTTTTTTTCTTGGCCCAGTGTATCTAAGGTCCCTTCCACACATCCATATAACCCAGAATGGCAAGGTGGAAAGTCCTACACTACCTGCTTTGAACTGGATTATCTCAGTCTACACTGCCATATATCCCAGGGCCCTTCCACACATCCATATAATCCAGAATGGCAAGGTGGAAAATCCTACAATACCTGCTTTGAAATGGGTTATCTGAGTCCACACTGCCATATATCCCAGTTCAAAACAGTTCATGTGGGATTTTATTCAGGTGTGTGGAAGGGGCCTCAAGGGGAAGATGTTGCGTGCAGATGGACCTTTTGCATCAGTTGACTCAAAGGGAGAGAAAAAGAAGCCTTGAAGGCAACCAAGGACTAGATCAAGGCAACGTAACCCTTGTTCCCCAGTGGAGGGAGCAAACGCTTACAAGCATAATTAGAAACTCTGACCTGGAACTCATATGCCCATTACTCTGGTATGTTTCCTCCTACTTTTGGATGAAGCAGAGGATGGGTTGGCCTTAAAGTGCCTAGGAGGTGTGGCTAGGCAACATTCATAAGGGCCAGAAAGTATCAGATTCTTCCCACAGGCTCTGGAAGATGAACCTGTCCTATCTCCAGGATGCTCAGGTGTAGAGAAGATTCCAGCTAACACCAGCTCTCCTGTTCGGAGGCTACAAGCCCTGTGAGCAAACCCGTTCCAGTTCTGGGTCTTCATAGCTCCTTGGGTCTTGCGTTTGAATATATTTTTCCTTTAAGAAAAGCTCCCTGAGTTAACATATTCGTTGGTTTGGCTGCAAGAAAACCTATTGCCCTGCTTGGCCAAAGGAAGAAGACATTTACAATGGGAAAGGTGAGTAAACCTGGAATTAAATCTATTGACTTGGTTTGGTGGCATCTTGGGAAGATACGAGCATTGAAGGTGATTCAATTTCTTCTCAGAGCATCGACAGGTTACTTTTAAGGCTACAGCCCAGGCATGTGTAAACTTCAGCCCTCCAGGTGTTTTGGACTTCAACTCCCACCAGCTGTTAGGAATTGTGGGAGTTGAAGTCCAAAACATCTGGAGAGCTGAAGTTTGCACATGCCTATGTTCTAGTCACAGAGGACCTCTGAGAGCTTCCAGTTATATATAAATCATGGTAAAATTATGTGCAAAAAGAAAGAACTGAATTTGGAAATGTTATTTTTGCATTATCTAAATGCAAAAATACACAACTGCAAAGAAAGAAAAAAAAATTCTGTGCAAAGATGAAAAGATGAAGAATAGAGCTTGAAAAATCATTGCTTTTTTGGACTGCAACTCGCAACAAACTTTTGGACTTGATCCAAGAGTAGAGTCCAGTCCTTAGAATCAAAATAAAAGTTGCAACAGGTGTATACTTACATAGGTTCACATTTCTTAAACTAAGTGTAGCAACAGAGGCATTCTACATTCCGGGTCATCTTATTTGTCCATCTAGCCCAGGCCTGGGCAAACCTGGGCCCTCCAGGTGTTTTGGACTTCAATCTCCCGGTGGCGCAGTGGGTTAAACCCCTGTGCCGGCAGGACTGAAGACCAACAGGTTGCTGGTTTGAATCTGAGGAGAGACGGATGAGCTCCCTCTATCAGCTCCAGCTCCTCATGCTAAATGAGACATATATTACTGAAAAAAAATCATGATTAACCTGAGCAACATGTTGGTCTATGGCCAACTTAGTTTTTTTAAAAAAAATATTTAATTTCTGTGGAGTCATTCTATGGAAACAGTCTATGGAATTGTTTCTTTCATCTTATGTGTCTCAATTTCATTTTCAAATGGCAGAGAGACATGAATATTAACTGATTCTTCATCCAATGCCTTTCTTCTCTATTGTTCATTATTAAAAACTGATGGCACTGCAGGTGTGTGAAGTGGAAAACACGTCTTGCTGGCTGGGCAAGAAACTTAAAAAAACTGACACAAAGGGAGAAGAGTCAATGGTCACATGCACACACACACAAATAATATTGGGCACTGGACTTCATTTACTGACATATATGGAATAACCTAACAATGTATTGTTGAAGGCTTTCATGGCCAGAATCACTGGGTTGTTGTAGGTTTTTTCGGGCTATATGGCCATGTTTGAGAGGCATTCTCTCCTGACGTTTCGCTTGCATCTATGGCAAGCATCCTCAGAGGTAGTGAGGTCTGTTGGAACTAGGAAAATGGCTTTCCACAGATATATCAACTCATTTTTCTAGTTCCAACAGACCTCACTACCTCTGAGGATGCTTGCCATAGATGCAGGTGAAACGTTAGGAGAGAATGCCTCTAGAACATGGCCCTATAGCCCGAAAAAACCTACAACAACCCAATAGCCCAACAGTTTGTGCCTTGGTTCTCCATGTGATCCAGAGAATTTAAATCTTTGCTTTGCACATTTATATGGATTCTCTGGATCCCTTGTCAGGTCTAGTCTGAAATAGCTTCTGCAAAACTACAATACCTGATTATTGCAGTCTGTTTACTTGATCCACGGAGCAGCGGTGGTGCAGAGGGTTAAACCCTTGTGCCAGTTGAACTGCTGATATGAAGACCTGAAAGTTGGTGGTTCAAATCCATGAGATGGGGTGAGCTCCTGTCTGTCAGCCCCAAAGAAAGAAGTCTACCACAGGATGGTAACACATCCGGGCATCCCCTGGGTAACGTCTCTGTAGACTGTGAATTTTCTCACATCAGAAGCAACTTGCAGAATAATAACAACAACAATAATAATCTTTATTTATACCCCACCACCATCTCCCCAATGGGGACTCGGAGCGGCCAAGCCCAGACAACATATTACATCAAAATAAAATCAAAACATAAACAATATTCTCAATTCACTTCTGACATGCTTTTTAAAAACTTGATCCAAGAGTAGAGTCCAGTCCTTAGAATAAAAATAAAAGTTTCAACAGGTGTATACTTACATAGGTTCACATTTCTTAAACTCAGAGTAGCAACAGAGGCATCGTCTACATTCGGGGTCATCTTATTTGTCCATCTAGTCCAGACCTGGGCAAACTTGGGCCCTCCAGGTGTTTTGGACTTCAACTCCCACAATTCCTAACAGTCGGTAGGCTGTTAGGAATTGTGGGAGTTGAAGTCCAAAACACCTGGAGGGCCCAAGTTTGCCCATTTTCAACTCTGAGAGTCTCAGACATATCCTATTATCTGATATGTTGATACTTTTAGTTGGAGAGGTCAAGTTCTGGAAATGAAACATTCTGTATGCAGAGCATACATACTACCGCCAGACTACAGTGACTTCCCCAAAGAGATGGAAACACCCTTCTATGTAAATATATGCAGAATTGTGATGCAGCGTCCATTCAAAAAGTAGGAGTCTCAGGATTATTTTAACGGCACCCTAGGGCACTGACAATTGACACATGCTGTGAAGATGTCAAATTGAAGGAAATATTGAAAAATACAAATATTAAATAGGTTTAAGGAAGTGATTAATCTGACTTCATGCATCACCTTCCATTTGCTTATGATGGAAAATATTCCCCAATGTGCAACCTTGTTGATTGTCAACAGCTACTAAATATTTAAATTGCATTCTTTAATGTTCTAGGAGTGATACCATATAGGACTGATGCCATCAGAGATCTAAGAGTTGACAAACTTTATGTCATAGGGAGGGTGGCTTGGCAATATGATTGGGGTGTGTGTGCATGTGTGGTTATAATTGACTTTTGAAATATCAAAATTAAATAGAATTTTTGAAGAAATTTGAGTTTTGGTTTCAAACACACTTTGGTGTTGCTGTGTGCCATCAAATCAGCAACCCTATAACGGAGGGCCCTTCCACACAGCTGCATAACCCAGAATATCAGGGCAGATAATCCACAATCTCTGCTATGACTCCACACTGCCATATCATCCAGCACAATGTGGATTATATACAGCTGTGTGGAAGGGGCCTGGGAGTTATTCATGAGCTGCAGTTTTTGCTCAGGTGTTGGCCTCCTTTATTGAATCCATCCATAATGTGGTCTTCTTCCTTCATATCATTTCATATCTAACCAGAGTGCAGTACTCTTAGTTTAATCCTTTTGTCTTTGAGAGAGTATCCATGCTTAATTTGCTCTAAGACCCTCTAAAGCAGTGTTACTCAACCGTCCTAATGCCGTGACCCTTTAACACAGTTCCTCATGTTGTGGTGACCCCCAACCATAAAATTATTTTCGCTGCTACTTCATAACGGTAAATTTGCTACTATTATGAATTGTAATGCAAATATCTGATATGTAGGGTGTATTCTCATTCACATGTCGGCCCAAATACCCGATATGCCCAAATTTGAATATTGGTTGGGTTGGGGGGTAGGGGTTCATTTTGTCATTTGGGAGTTGTAGTTGCTGGGATTTATAGTTCACCTTCAATCAAAGAGCATTCTGAACTCCACCAACAATGGAATAGAATCAAACTTGCCACCCAGAACTCCCATGACAAACAGAAAATACTGGAAGGGTTTGGTGGGTATTGACCTTGAGTTTTGGAGTTGTAGTTCCCCTCCCTCCAGGGAGCACTGTAGACTCAAACAATATTGGATCTAGACCAAACTTGGCACGAATACTCAATACACCCAAATGTGAACACTGATGGAGTTTGGGGAAAATAAACCTTGACATTTGGGAGTTGTCGTTGCTGGGATTTATAGTTCACCTACAATGACATTTTGGAGTTGTTGTTGCTGGGATTTATAGTTCACCTACAATCAAAGAGCATTCTGAACTCCACCAACGATGGAATTGAACCCAACTTGGCACACAGAACTCCCATGACCAACCAACAGAAAATACTGGAATGGTTTGGCAGGCATTGACCTTGAATTTTGGAGTTGTAGTTCACCTACATCCAGAGAGCACTGTAGACTCAAACAATGATGGATCTGACCAAACTTGGCATAAATACTCAATATGCCCAAATGTGAACACTGGTGGAGTTTGGGGAAAATAGACCTTGACATTTGGGAGTTGTAGTTGCTGGGATTTATAGTTCACCTGAAATTAAAAAGCATTCTTACCTTACCTCCCACACAGAACCCCATGACCAACAGAAAATACTGTGTTTTCTGATGGTCTTTGGTGACCCCTCTGACACCCCCTCATGACCCCCCCCCCGGGGTCCCGACCCCCAGGTTGAGAAACGCCTTAGGCTTTTATTATTATTATTACTCTATTTATTATTTTATATTATTTTACTCTTTATTTACTTATTATTATTACATTTCTATTATTTACTCTATTATTATTATTATTATTACATTTATATTTTACTCTATTATTATTACATTTTACTTTATTATTTTTATTACATTTATTATTTTACTCTATTATTATTGGAAGGATACGTAAGCACATTTACATTGAAGAAGGTCAGAATAATGGTTTAATCAGAGTTGGACAGTCTTATCTTAAATTACTGTTTTATGTAAATATTCAAAAACATTTCACCTTCTGATTCCTCAATTAATGTAATTTTATTGATATCTATTTTTATTTTGAAATTCACCAGTAGCTGCTGCATTTCCCACCCTCATCTTATACTCAGTTTAAACGGTTTTCCCAATTTTTTGTAGTAAAATTAGGTACCTTGGCTTATATTTGGGTTGGCTTATACTCGATAATTTTATACCAGGTCATAAATCAATGAGGAAAAATCCCAAAACTTAATATATTGCACATTTTGGAGAAAAACCAAAACCAGTTTAATTCATAATATTACTACTGTTGCAAAAGGTAAAATCACCCAAAGCCATGGAGATACGCAGACATCCTCAGTCAAGCCCTCGGTCAAAAAGCTGGCTGTGACCTGAACCTCAGTCACCAAGTGTGACTATGCTTGCAAAGACAGCCATATAATCCTCAAAGAATCTGGTAAGGAATGGGGTCAGCCAATTGTTGGTCATTCCAAAGAATGGCATGTAATTTATAGCTCAGTTATGATCTAGAAAGTTATGTATATAAAAACGGATGAGCTCATACAAAAACAGGAAACTTGTCTTCGGAGCACAAGCTATCCAAAGAAAAAGCAGTAGAGAACAATGGCTTATCTATGCTGTCCAAATGAAGCAAAGCGGGTGAGGTAACTCTCATTAGGAATGGCACCTGTTGCTAAAGCGGCTTGCATACCTTCCGCCACAGATTCTTTGAAAGCAGTAATAGGCTGTTGGCAAACTTTCAAGGCTTGGGTAGATAGGTGTCCAAATGAACTTGGGTGTGCAAATCAGTATGATACTGGAGTCAGAACTTATCTACAAGCACTGAAATGAATGTAAACATTGCTCCGTACATGATGCATAGTATTGGTTGCTAATTGCCACCAAGTCACGTTTGGAGATATGGTGGGAGACTTCAAATGCACATTGCTCTCAACAACCTTGTTCCAGTCCTGCAGATTCAGGGCTTTGACTTCATTGGGTTGTTGTAGGTTTTTTTGGGCTATATGGCCATGTTCCAGAGGCATTCTCTCCTGACATTTCACCTGCATCTATGGCAAGCATCTTCAGAGGTTGTGAGACCTCACAACCTCTGAGGATGCTTGCCATAGATGCAGGTGAAATGTCAGGAGAGAATGCCTCTGGAACATGGCCATATAGCTCAAAAAAACCTACAACAACCCAGTGATTCCAGCCATCAAAGCCTTCAACAATACATTATAACTTCACTGATTGAGTCTATCATCTTGTAACTTGGGTTCCATCAATATTGCCATATAATGTAATTTAAAACTTTGTAGACTCATATAATGAAGTCGAACTGCATTATATGAATCTAAACTGACCATATAATACAGTTTCAGACTGCATTATAGTGTGATGTTAATAAGACCATAACCTTTTTTTTTTACTGGTTCCCATTTTACCATGTGTTACCTTTCCTAATGGACCATGTCATCTCATAATATAGCCAAAGAATGATCAAATTAACTCCCAGGAAGACCTTAGGCTTGATCTGTTCTTGATTTTACAATTTTATGGTCTATTGACTGCCAAAAAAGACAACGGAATTATTATAGGATCCCTTTATTTATTACTAGCTTGGGGACCTGGCAATGTCCAGGTTATATTTCATTGTTTGCTTTTGGAGGTTAAAAAAGCTATTAAAATAGCTTCAATGGCTACCGATAAGTTGCCAAGCCAAATTCAAGGTGCAGGTAATAACCTATGAAGCCCTAAACGGTTCGGACCCCGCCTATCTTCGTGATCGCATCTCCATCTATGAACCAGCATGAACTCTAAGATCCTCTGGAGAGGCCCTCCTCTCGCTCCCACCTCCGTCACAAGCATGGTTGGTGGGGACGAGAGAGAAGGCCTTCTCAGTGGTGGCCCCCCACCTCAGGAATGCCCTTCCAAGGGAAATCAGACAGGTCCCACCCCTCCCCTCTTTTCATAAGAGTTTGAAGACTTGGTGGTTTCAACAAATCTTTGAGAGTGACCAGTGCTAGCTCAGCCCAGACACTGTCCGGACACGACCTAGCCCCCTATATATTACCCTAGTCATTCTCCTAACAGGCCCCTGGAAATAGCCCGTCTCCACTTTTGTCATTTACCTATTACAGTACTGTACTCAAATGCCAGTCCCATCTTATTTCAATTTGTATCAGTCTTGATCCAGCCTTTTTAGTTGTGACTCTGTATGTTTTGATGTTGTTGCTTGGAAACCGCTCTGAGTCCCCCTGAGAAGATAGAGTGGTGTAGTAATAATAATAATAATAATAATAATAATAATAATAATAGGTTTCCAGGTCCATCAGTGGTGGGGTCCAAAGTGCTCTTTGATTGCAAGTGAACTATACATCCCAGTAGCCACAATGGCTATAAAACAAGCTGAATTTCCCCCAAATCCCTTCAGTATGTTATGTTGGTCATGGGGGTTCTGCGTGCCAAATGTGGTCCAGGTCCATTGTCAGTTGGGGTCACAGTGCTCTGACTTGATGCAGGGCAAACTACAACTTCCATCATGTGGAGTCAATCCCCCAAACTCCTCCAGTATGTTTAGTTGCTGCTCTGTTATGCAGACAGAGTTGAAAAGAGTAGGGAAGGATTAAGGGAGAGGTAATGGGTGGGATCATGCTGATTCCACACCAATGGAGTGAGAAAGGAACCCTGGGATACCTGCATGTGGTGGAGGAAACATATAAAATCTGGAATGAAATGGTCCCTGAATGAAAGCATTCTTTGTGTGGTGGGATGTAGTGTTTGGGGTGGACATTGCAGGGTTTGGGCAACATGTTCATGGCAGTCACAATAATCTGCAATGTCAGTGGAAAGAATGCCTTTGGAGGCTCCTCAACACTTGGATCTATAGCTATTTGTGGAGGTGGGAGACTATGTGTAAGTAGACACCTGTGCCACATACGCGCATACAGAGATTTTGACAGTCTTCAATATTTGCAAAACTCCAACGTCACACTTGGAGTAAATTGATTATTTTCCTATTCAATACCTTTAAAGTCTAGATTGCACAAAAAATACATAGAAACTGAGAATACAAAGGCATGGGCAATTCTCACTTTGGATTTCTATACTATGATAGCACTATTTGAAAAAAGACAGAAATGTGTTCATTATGAAATTTAAGGATACAACAATAAGTTAATTTTATAGATAAATGCATGTGTACATCAACTGCAATCAATACATCAATTTGTAGAATGCAAATCTGCTAATAGAGAGATACTTCCTTGTTGTAGTCTCTACATGCCATCATTTTTGCTGTTTCTTTTTCCATTTTAAAAAACTGGCCGCATTTTTCCAGCAAAAAGTATGCTGTTCATTCACCCTCAGGCACCAGGGATTGCTTAAGAGAGAGGGACAGAAAACATGAAACAACCTAGTGAAGTCCTCTAAAATGCAATATTTTGGTTGTTTATGTATATTGGTAAGGCAGAAAAGGAGTAATAAGACAATACAGAAAATTATTAATTTTAGAAATTGGGCATGTTAAACCAGAAGAAACATGAAGTGACATGTTGCACTCATCAAACACATAAGTATGGGAAATAATCCACATTTTTTACTGTTCTGGGAAGCTACTCTATCTATTGAATGCTTGCATATTCCATAGATGGGGCCTTCACCTTTAGAGATGGTTTGTGGATGAGTCAACGGAACAAATAAAGCCAAACTAACTTCTCTGTTCATTTAATTTCAGAAAAAAGCTGATATCTACTCAGTTGAGATCAATGGAACAAAAGATGTGGAAGAAATCGGAAAAGAAGATGAAAAGGAAAAGAACAAAGATACAAAAAAGGATAAGAAGAAAAGGAAGGAAGAAGACCTCAAGAAAGAGTTGGATCTGGTAAGTACTATAGTAGAAACACCTATAGCAATGGCCCTTATCCACACTTTGATTTCATAGGATTGGAACTCCCAAAAGTGGTCTCCAATGATGATGCTGGCTAGGTCTGTTGGGGTTTGTGACAACCCCACCAAGCTCTTTGGCCATTTGTTCCATCTTGATAGACCTGATCCACCTCCGATCTTGATAGGCCTGATCCACCTCTGAGACCAACATGACCTCCTTGACCTGGTTTGTGATGGGAAAAGGCAGTAAAGTATGAGGCTCTCAGTTCTCTTTCAGCTCAACTCTTCTGTTCCTGTCCTTTTTGCTATCTATTCATTTAAGGTGACACCATGAGCTACCACACTAAGTGACACCAAGGTGAGGGACACCAATAGCCTTGGGCCTGAAACAATTTGAACGAAAATGATTCAGTGGTCTGTTTCGTATAATCTCCAAAAACAGAACAGGGAGGAGGGACCTGTGAAACGCAGCAAAACGGATAAGGGAGTTGGATTTTATCGGTTCCTGTAGAATATGGAATTAGGTCTGCAATATACCTGAGGCATGAGTCTGCTGTGGGGCTTCTGGAGAAGATGGGATCAACTGTAGCATCTTTTCTCCCTCCCCAGCAGCAGCAGCACCCATCCATTTCTTTTTGGAAAGCTTCCTAGGCTTCTCCTCCAGAGAGGGCCATGCTGATAACTCGCTTTCCCAGCAGCACTTTCATGGGGTGGGCATTGAAAAGTCTATGGGATCCTCTTGGAGCATGATGGGAGTTGAAGTTTTTCTCTCTCTCTGTTTCTCAGCCAATAAAAAGCCTAGTTGTGCCCATGCTCTGATTATCTGAGAATGGACACAACTGGTGATTACAATTCCCAGAACCCTCTCTTGCGGTTTGTCATATTTTAAAAAAATGTTATGGTAAAAACTTAAAATAAATATAAAAAATCAGTAGATTGATTAATTGCTTTGAAACTTGGCAGGCCTGAAGTTGTAAATAGGGTCTAAAGCTGAGGTAGGTTTCATGCAGATAAGTCTTAAAATGACTGAAGATTGAGCCTTTAAAGTTTCCCATTGTAGCTAATGGGCTGAGTCTTTGCCGGAGGAAAAACGGCAACACCCCTCCCGATTTGAGTAACTTCCCGGTAAACAGAATGAGGGGCTAGCTGAAAATGGACCCCGAAATGGCATGCCTTTTGGTCGAATTGCACACTTCTAGACACCAATGGGCTGGTCCATGAGGTCACTAAGAGTTGGAAACGACTGAATGAATGAACAATAACAAGACACCAATGCTTCCATGTGCACAAAACTATCACTGTTGTAATCTTCCATCTTTTCCATGTGCCATCAGCTTCGTAGAGGTAAAACAAGCATCCTGTCATTGATATAATCTATCATGATGCATCTGTTTCGATACTTAAATAGAAATCTTTTCTCAACCCTGCTGGATAAGATTTCGTATCTGGAGATTAGGGATTGCACATGAGACCTAAAGTTTAGCAAGGAGGAGTATTCATCCCTTCAATTAAATTTAAAAATGCAATCATTAATGGAAGCATCCTTTAATCTTTGCAGCATGTAACATGTTGTGAATTGCATTGTGTAAAAGCAACAGAGAACTCAATATATTGTGGAATCTTGCTTGGTGTTTTTCAAGGAAAGACTGTAAAAGCACTTGTTTCTGTTTCATCATAATGCCATACTAGATAATGCTTGTGTGTTCCTTCAATGCCATGATTCCATGACTAATGAGATGACTTTATGTCTCAGGAGTTTAAATGTGCTCAAGATCCTCCGATGGAATGCTATACAATTATGCCTCAAATTGCATACTGTAGAATGGCATTTCAAGATCATCCCCCTAAATATTAAAACAACCTATCTCCTAATCTATATATATATAAATGTTATGTGCATAATGAGTACCTTAAAAACAAAAGAACCAATGAACGAAATCACACCAAATTTGGCAACAAAATGTCTCACTACACAAGGAGTGACCATCACTCAAAAAATTATGATTTTGTCATTTGGGAGTTGTAGTTGCTGGGATTTATAGTTCACCTACAATCAAAGAGCATTCTGAACTCCACCAACGATGGAATTGAACCAAACTTGGCACACAGAACTCCCATGACCAACAGAAAATACTGGAAGGGTTTGGTGGGCATTGACCTTGAGTTTGGGAGTTGTAGTTCACCTACATCCAGAGAGCACTGTGGACTCAAACAATGATGGATCTGGACCAATTTGGCACAAATACTCAATATGCCCAAATGTGAACACAGTGGAGTTTGGGGGAAATAGACCTTCGCATTTGGGAGTTGTAGTTACTGGGATTTATAGTTCACCTACAATCAAAGTGCATGCTGAACCCCACCAAAGACAGAATTGGGGCAAACTTCCCACACAGAACCCCCATGACCAACAGAAAATACTTAAGGCCATCCAATCCAACTCCCTTCATCAGGGCAAGAAAATGTAATCAAAGTCCTCCTGACAAAGAGCCATCCAGCCATAGATATAGATAGATGGATGGATAGATAGGATTCACACACAGAGAAATATATGTGGAGAGTGTCTGGTTTGCCCACCCTGGAACATGCAACATATCATTGTCCTTCTTTAGGGGTCCCTTTCAAATCTATGATAATAGATTTGAAAGGGACCCCTAAAGAAGGACAATGATATGTTGCATGTTCCAGGGTGGGCAAACCAGACACTCTCCACATCAATACTGACAAAGAAACAGCAAAAAATACTGTTTATCTACAAGCAGAAAGAAATTACATCTATTAGAAACCAACACTTTCTCATTACTTTATTTTCCAGATCAACAGATTGGGCCACAGCAACGCGTGGCAGGGGACAGCTAGTGACATATAGATTTTGATAACTATAGAATACATATTGAATTTTGTTTAAAAAAATACTGATCTATCTCTGTTTTTTTCTGTTTTAGGATGACCACAAACTAAGTGTGCAAGAACTAGAAGAAAAATACGGCACGAGTATCATTAAAGTAAGTTGATATGGAGAAGGACAGTAATTTAACCATAGTGAAATCCATTCTGATATTGGAAACATAAATTGTATTTTTGCTACTGAACCTAACGCTTTTTAACTGAGGAATGAATTTTAATAACTTTAGTCCATACTAACATGCCTTTGTTTCAGGAAGGAGCAAGCCATAATTTTTTTAAAAAATAGTTTCAAAAATGGGCTGAGTCAACAATTTTGTCAACATCTCAAAGCATCCCCATTTTGTCAACATCTCAAAATTCACATCACACTCTTAGATCATTTCTGTACTTTCCTTTTACAGGGTCTTGCAAGCTCAAGAGCTGCAGAAGTTTTGGCCCGTGATGGTCCCAATTCTTTAACCCCACCCAAATCGACTCCAGAGATAATCAAGTTTCTCAAACAGATGATAGGAGGGTTTTCCATCCTCTTGTGGGTTGGAGCTATCCTTTGCTGGATTGCTTTTGGGATTCAGTACGGACAGGGAGTTTCTTCAGCATTTGACAATGTAAGTATGGTTATGTTTTCATTGTGGCTATTTCATTTGTCTGAGTGTTCCACTTATTGAAAAACTATCAGTAGTATTGATTGAATAGCTACTATCCCAAATGTCTACCTAAGCCCTAGCTTTGTACAACCCGATAGTGAACCCAGATCCAGAAAAAATATATATTTTTCATTCTGTGTTATTAGAAATCCTAAATTTGAACAAATGTGATTACTGCAATGCACTCTATGTGGGGTTGCCTTTGAAGACTGTTCGGAAACTAGTCCAATGGGTGATAGCTAGATTACTCACCGGAGTGACATATAGGGAACATACCACCCCCCCTGTTGTGTCATCTCCACTGACTGCTGGTCCACTTCCGAGCACAATTCAGAGTGCTGGTTTTGGCCTATAAAGCCCTATACGGTTCCAGCCCAGCTTACTTGTCCAAACATATTTCCCTCTACAATCCACCTCAGAGTTTACAATAATCTGGGGAGGCCTTGCTCTTGATCCCACCCTCTTCACAAATGTGATTGGCGGAGATGAGAGACAGGGCCTTCTCGGTGGTGGCCCCCCATCTGTGGCACACATTCCCCAAGAAAATTGGGTTGGCTCTATCTCTCCTTTCCTTTAGGAAAAAACTCAAGTCATGGTTCTGGGACAAGGTATTCGGGTAGTAGGCTTAACAGCAATTTGCAATGCTTCATGAGAACTGATAATGGACAGGCTTTGGACTGGGTCTCTGGTTGCTGAATTGGATTTGGATGCGACTATATTGTTGTAAAATTATTTTCGAACCTATTGTTTTTTAACCAATGTTTATGTGTGTTATACTATGTTGCTTGTATATGTCGGCATTGAATTGTTGCCAGTTGTAAGCTGCCTTGAGTCCCACCCACCCACCCCCGGAAGGGGTTAAGGATGGGTACAAATGTTTGAAATAAATGTTATGTTCTTGCTGATAGCTCTCCAAAATGTTCCCTATGCAAGGGGGGTGCTATAAAGCTATACATCTCTTTTCCTTTGTTGTTTGGACACATAAAATATTTATGCAATTGTGAGTCGCATTGCATAACTATGTTACAAATGGGGGAAAATAATCAACATGCTAACTTGCACAATTTTCTTGTCATTCAGCTCTACCTGGGTGTGGTCCTTTCACTTGTTGTCATCCTTACTGGCATGTTTGCATATTATCAAGAATCCAAAAGCACCAACATCATGGCCAGTTTCAGTAAAATGATACCACAGGTAAGTGTCCGATATCAGTAAATCAATGTGTTTTAAAACTAGATAGTAATGTTAAGAAGTTTAGGATACTTTCTCTCCCAGTTTAAATGAGAAATAAAGTTGACTTGACGCGTGTTATTGCCATCTATCTATCTATCTATCTATCTATCCATCCATCCATCCATCCATCCATCCATCCATCCATCCATCCATCCATCTATCTAATGTTTGTTTGTGGGAGAAACATAACTCAGAAACCACTGGATGACATGAAATTTTGACACAATACATCTAATAGTCCAACATGTGTCCATCACCCCTAGAAGTACACAAAAACAGCAGAACAGACTTTAAAAACCCCCACATTAGCCATATATTCATATACACATGCACACATACATACTCACACACACACACACATATATATGATATATATATCACACACAATTTATACATACATTTACACCTACACACATATATACACACAAATATACACCATATACATATACACATAAACACAGAAATGCACAAATATATACACATGTATATACACACAGACATATTTATACACACACACACACACACACATATACACACACACACATATACACAGACTGGGCCACAGCATCACGTGGCAGGGGATGGCTAGTAGAAGATAAATATATTCACTGGCTTCCATTGCTTTTCAACAAATGTAGTCTGATGCAACCATCCTAACAAACATATAAAATGGTTGAAGCTCTGGGTAGCCCAGTTTGTTGGAAACATTTCAGCCTTTTGTTTTAACCATGTAGTAATCAAACTCTTATCCTTGTTTCTCTCATTAGCAAGCCCTTGTTCTCAGAGATGCAGAGAAAAAGGAAATCCCGGCTGACCAACTAGTAGTGGGAGACATTGTGGAAATCAAAGGCGGAGACAGAATACCAGCAGACATCCGGCTGATTGCCAGTCAGGGCTGTAAGGTAAAATAATAAATGAAACAAAAATCAGAATCCTTCTTTAAGCTCTCTGGGAAACATAAAGCACAGCACAGGTTAAACATCTCCTAACTGGAAATCCAAAATGTTTTAAAAATTCCCCACATGGGTAGCTGAAATAATGCTTTCTGATGGTTTAGTACAGTGTTTCTCAACCTGGGGGTCGGGACCCCTGGAGGGGTCACGAGGGGGTGTCAGAGGGGTCACCAAAGACCACAACAAAACACAGTATTTTCTGTTGGTCATGGAGGTTCTGTGTGGGAAGTTTGGCCCAATATCGGTGGGGTTCAAAATGCTCTTTGATTGTAGGTGAACTATAAAACCCAGCAACTACAACTCCCAAATGTCAAGGTCTATTTTCCCCAAACACACTAGTGTTTACATTTGGATATATTGAAAATTTGTGCCAAGTTTGGTCCAGATCCATCATTTTTGAGTGCTCTCTGGATGTAGGTGAACTACAACTCCAAAACTCAAGGTCAATGTCCACCAAACCCTTCCAGTATTTTCTGTTGGTCATGGGAGTTCTGTGTGCCAAGTTTGATTCAATTCCATCATTGGTGGAGTTCAGAATGCTCTTTGATTGTAGGTGAACTATAAATCCCAGCAACTACAACTCCCACAGGACAAAATCAATACCCTCCCCCAACCCCACCAGTATTCAAATTTGGGTGTATTGGGTATTTGTGCCAAATTTGGTCCAGTGTATGAAAATACATCCTGCATATCAGATATTTACATTACTATTCATAACAGCAGCAAAATGACAGTTATGAAGTAGCAATGAAACTAATTTTATGGTTGGGGGTCACCATAACATGAGGAAGCGTATTAAGGGGTCGTGGCATTAGGAAGGTTGAGAACCACTGTTCTAGCACAAAGTAATTTAAAATATTGTGTACAAAGTTAACTCCAGAAAGTTTGTATAAAGTATATATGAAACATAAATGCTGTGTTTAGACCTGGGTCCCATCTCTAAGAGATAGATAGATAGATAGATAGATAGATAGATAGATAGATAGATAGATATGTTAGTGTTGCAAAACCCAAATATTATCCAAAATCAAAACACTTCTGGTCCCCAGTATTTTAGATAGTAGTGGTAAAGGTTTCCCCTGACATTAAGTCTAGTTGTGTCTGACTCTGGGGGCTGGTATTCATCTCCATTTCTAAGCCAAAGAACTGACATTGTCCGTAGACGCCTCCAAAGTCATGTGGCCAGCATGACTGCATGGAGTGCCATTACCTTCCCATAGAAGTGGTACCTATTGATTTACTCAAATCATTTATTTCGATCATAAACCAGCACAGGAAATAAAAGTCACAGTTTCATACAAACTTGGTACGTTTAAAAATATAAATATAAATACTGAAGCACAACAGGGGTGAAGAAGGGTAAATGGGGTAAAAACATACAATGCACAGGACTATCAGCAAATTATAGATTCAAGGAAGATGATTGCTGGATACACAGTTAACTTTTGGGACTAGTCATCCCCTGATGGATTTTGTATGCTGCTGCACAAAACTTTGCAACATAGTAGGTTGATCTACTCAAATTTGCATGTTTTTGAACTGCAAGGTTAGCAGAAGCTGGGGCTAACACTGTGAGCTTACCCCACTCCCCGGATTTGAACCGTCAACCTTTTAGTCAGCAAGTTCAGCAGCTCAGGGGTTTAACCCACTGTGCCACCAGGGACCTTAGCATTTTAGATAAGGGATATTCAATGTGCAAACAGAGTCTCTTTCCATAGATCTGGTGCATGAAGATGTACAATCAAAGAAATGATACGTCAGCATCCATGTGAAAAATGTGTCTTTGAGGAAAAAATAGCTTGTTTTGAACTATGAAAGAAAAAGATCTTCCCCAGAAACCTTGATCATTTAATTATGATAACAATCGTGTGGGAGGAAATGTCTTCATTAAGCTTGTTTGAACAATCACTTAAGAGTAAGATAACAATCGTTCTCCCTGCAAAGTTACTTTCTATGATATATTGCTCTATAGTCATCCCCACCCTATCAGAGACATTGGTTGAGTAATCCTTAGGTAAAATATTTATTTATTTATTTATTTGTCGTGTCAGAAGCAAACCAAACAGTTGCATTGCATTTTTTAACAAACAAACAAAGCACAAAGTTTGCAAGCTTGGTAGTTGATTTGAATGTCCTTTGACCAGTAGCTGGCCACTTGGAATGCCTCTGGTGTTACTATAAGAAGGTCCTCCATTGTGCATGTGGCAGGGCTCAGGTTGCGTTGCAGCAGGTGGTCAGTGGTTTGCTCTTCTCCACATTCGCATGTCATGGATTCTACTTTGTAACCCCATTTCTTCAGGTTGACTCTGCATCTCGTGGTGTCAAAGCGCACGCTGTTCAGCGCCTTCCAAGTCGCCCAGTTTTCTGTTTGCCCAGGAGGGAGTTTCTGATTTGATATCAGCCATTGATTGAGGTTCTGGGTTTGAACCTGCCACTTTTGGACTCTTGCTTGCTGAAGTGTTCCAGCGAGTGTCTCTGTAGATCTTAGAAAACTATTTCTTGATTTAAGTAATTGATGTGCTGGCTGATACCCAAACAAGGGATGAGCTGGAGATGTCACTGCCTTGGTCCTTTCACTGTTGGCTGCTACTTCCAGCAGATGTCAGGTGGTGCAATACCGGCTAAACAGTATAATTTCTCCAGTGGTGTAGGACGTAGACACCCTGTGTCTCATTAAGAGCCTCCACCACTGTTGTAGCATGGTGATATGTGTTCCACACTGGGCATGCGTACTCAGCAGCAGAGTAGCATAGCGCAAGGGCAGATGTCTTCACTGTGTCTGGTTGTGATCCCCAGGTTGTGCCAGTCAGCTTTCGTATAATATTGTTTCTAGCACCCACTTTTTGCTTGATATTCAACAGTGCTTCTTCTAGGTCAGAGCATGGTCCAGGGTAACTCCCAGGTATTTGGGTGTGCTGCAATGCTCCAGTGGGATTCCTTCCCAGGTAATCTCACAAGTGATATGGTCAGTCTTTCTTGGGTTATCATATACCATTACTATAACAATTGAAGCTCCCTGTAAAACTGGTGATGAGTAAACATAATAATGGGATGCCTAAACTCATCCAAGCATTTGGCTTTGACCGACAGGTGGACAACTCCTCCCTTACTGGAGAATCAGAGCCACAGTCCCGCTCCTGTGAATTTACTCATGAAAACCCACTGGAGACCAAAAATATTGCTTTCTACTCCACAACGTGCTTGGAAGGTAAGTGTGTTTGTATGGGGACGGGGCAGACAGAAAGAGAAAGAGAGACAGAGAAAGAATGGCGGGATGGAGAAAACTTAATCTCCAAAAAGAGAATTGTCAGTAACATCAGCTGCAGCAATTACTACTGCTACATTAATCTTTTCCCCAACACAAGTCTTAGGGATTGGCCTAAAACCTGACATAAAAAGGTTAGCTAGGATCCTAAATGTCTTCCTTATTTATTCAAGGAGCAATTCCTGTCTTCACATCCTGCACCATCTCCCACCTCATTTCCAAAGTTATTTTTTTAGTAGAAATATTGTTAAAATATAACCGTTTTTTAATTTTTACCCACATCTTTTTTTTACTCTTCCCACCCCCCCATTATAAATTTCACAAGAAATTTTTAAATAATTTTAATTCTTTTTATTTATCACTTTATCCCTGGTTTAAATAATTTCGAAAAAAGACGAATGGAGAAAACTTAATCTCCAAAAAGAGAATTGTCAGTAACATCAGCTGCAGCAATTACTACTGCTACATTAATCTTTTCCCCAACACAAGTCTTAGGGATTGGCCTAAAACCTGACATAAAAAGGTTAGCTAGGATCCTAAATGTCTTCCTTATTTATTCAAGGAGCAATTCCTGTCTTCACATCCTGCACCATCTCCCACCTCATTTCCAAAGGGTCCTATGTTCCTCAGAAGCACATTTGGGGAAAGATTGTAAGGACCTTTAGAGAAAAGAGGAAGATAAGAGAACCCTAATCCAGAAATTGTACAACTGGCCCTTCATACCCATGGATTCCATCATCCATAGCTTGGAAATATCCCTCCCCCCACCCAAATAAAGAATAACATTCAAAAAGCAAATTTAATTTTCCATTTTATATAATGGACACCATTTTATATGCTGCAATGAAATTTGCAGATTCACTTATTTTGGAATAATAATAATAATCCGATACATCACACAGTCCTAGACACTTGGGAAGTGTCCGACGTGTGGTCCAATACAACACCCAGCAGAGTGTCTGCTGTGGACTCATCTTGTGGTGTTTCAAATAATAATAATAATAATAATAATAATAATAATAATAATAATAATACTTTATGTATATTCTGTCCTATCTCCCCAAGGGGACTCAGGGCAGATCACAGTACACATACGTGCCGAATATTCAATGCCGTTTGGACAGACAGGGATCCCCAGCGAGTCCAGGAATCAAACTCCAGCAGAAACCAGTAGCCTGCTATACTGTTCACAGATAAAAATATAAGGTCCATACCATTTATTTAGATAAATAAAAATAAAAATACATATGCACATCACTGTTTTGGTTAAAAGGTTTCCCCCTGACATTAAGTCCAGTTGGGTTGGTGCTCATCTCCATTCTAAGCCAAAGAGCCGGCATTTTCTGTAGACACCTCCAAGGTCATGTGGCCAGCATGGCTACAGAAGCTGGGGCTAACAGTGGGAGCTCATGCCATTCCTCAGATTTGAACCTGTGACCTTTCAGTTCAGCAGCTCAGCGCTTTAACCCACTGCGCTACTGGGGGCTCCATCATTGTTTTAGCTAGAAACAAAAAGGTCAAGGGAACACAATGGAACACCAAGGAATGGAGAGAGGTCATAATAAGGTGACAGCAGTAAGACCAGTATGGGGTTATAGCTGCAGTGGTGGACTTGGATTACAGAGGATCACCTGGTTTCAGGAAATCCACTGGGCAGAATATGAACAAGCAAACTTCCTCTGAGTAAATATTGTCCTAGAAAAGAGTCACCTTGAATCGGTGTTGATTTGATGGCACATAGCAACAAAGCAGTTGTAAAAAGCTCCATGAACTAAGAAAGATGAGGAGCAAATCATTTCACAAAATCATGGTATCCAAACAGGCAAGGGATGACATTTGCTTCCCTTTCTCCTTAGGTGCTGCTACGGGTATGGTGATCAATACAGGTGACAACACCATCATTGGAAGAATTGCTTCACTAGCTTCTGGTGTTGGGAATGAGAAGACACCCATTGCTCTGGAGATAGAGCATTTTGTCCATATTGTAGCTGGAGTAGCTATCTCCATTGGGGTCCTTTTCTTCGTCATTGCTGTCTCCATGGGCTACCATGTTCTCGATTCCATCATCTTCCTCATTGGCATTATTGTGGCCAATGTGCCCGAAGGTCTACTAGCTACAGTTACTGTAAGTTTTCATCAGCTAGAAATGTTAACTTTCATGGCACAGGCCTTCTCTAACTCCACCATATTGTGTAAAATTATTGAAAAGTTGACAGCACTGAGGAAGTGGGTGGAAAGGTATTTGCAAAAAAAAAAATCAATTTGCTTGATCACATTGATCTGTCAAGATATCAATTTCTTGTTACTGTTTTGATATCCTTATCTGAGGCCCCTTTGACACTGCGCTGTATCATAGAATCATAGAGTTCGAAGAGACCTCATGGGCCATCCAGTCCAACCCCCTGCCAAGAAGCAGGAAAGTTGCATTCAAAGCATCCCCAACAGATGAGCATCCAGCCTCTGTTTCAAAGCCTCCAAAGGAGGAGCCTCCACCACAATCCGGGGCAGAGAGTTCCACTGCTGAACAGTTCTCACAGTCAGGAAGTTCTTCCTAATATTAAGATAGAATCTCCTTTCTTGTAGTTTGAAGCCATTGTTCTGTGTATCCCAGGATCCAATCCCAGATTACCTGTTTATCCCAGGTTATCTGGCAGTTGGGACTCGGATAATTCAGTTTAAAGCTGGGATGAGATTCTGGGATATAAGGTAATGTGGAAGAGGCCTTAGATTCATTCTGCTCTATTTGGAAAGAAGAGCCAGGACATGTGTGATAAGAGGGTCATAACTATTTCATAGAAATCTCTAACCTACAATGGGACCTACTCTAATGTGGAACTACGGTGGAAGATGGAGGTCCCCATCTGACCTCCTCATCACCATGAGAATGGGCTACCTGAATCCCACTACTCCACAGGCTGCACCAGAGTAGTGGAAACCCTCCCAAATCTCAATCCACCTAAAAACATAAGCTTCAAAGGGACATATGGCAAAAACCACACATTTGTGGCTAGATTGGGAACACCATTTTTCAGCTGCAATAGGGGGTCCCAAAGGTTGCATGAAGTCTTCAATCCATACATTGCCTACCTCTGATTTATGAAATGCCAGTCTTCAGTTCTTCTCTATAATTTGATTAATATGGACTGTGATTTTTATATATTTTGTTAGGTAAGCTTGTCCTTGACTGCAAAGAGAATGGCTAAAAAGAATTGCCTTGTGAAGAATCTGGAAGCTGTGGAGACATTGGGCTCTACTTCCGTCATCTGCTCTGACAAGACAGGAACCCTGACGCAGAACAGGATGACCGTAGCTCACCTTTGGTTTGACCATGCAATCTATTCAGCTGACACCAGTGAAGACCAATCAAGTAAATATTATTCAGGGGACATGGAGCAGAAGGGGGAATGATTAGCACTGTTTCCCATTTCAGAGTATGAGGCACACAATTTATTGGGTTTTCTTTCTCCCCTCAGGCCAAGACTTTGACCAAACATCTCTCACGTGGACAGCACTGTCAAAAGTTGTCGCTCTGTGCAACCGGGCAGAATTCAGACCAGGACAGCAGGATGTGCCGATCATGAAGGTATGTCTGTAAGAGTACCCTCAATTCACCTTTCAACGTTTGGTGATCCCAGAGTTTTCATAGGAAATAAGTGTTTGAAATTGGCTTTGCCATTTCCTTCTCCTGAAATATAGCCTATAGAATCTGTTCTTCATTGGTGATCTCCTTTCCAAATACTAACCAGAACTGAGTCTGCTTAGCTTCCAAGATCACCGGAAATCTGGTTCTTTTAGGGTATTTAGGTGTGATTGTGAAGTTACAAAGTTCGTTTCTAATTATCATTAACTGAGGGGTAGTCTGAATTGTGATCTTTTTTTAAGTTAGAAGCACAAATCCTCATTGTATAATTTTTATTAGAAATTTATATTAGAAATTCATATTATAAATGAATGTGGGATGATATGATCTGGAGGAAGAACCCCGAGTCTGGAGGAAGAACCCCTAGGGGAGATGGTATAAAAATAAAGTTATTATTCTTATATTATAACCCAAAGTCTCTCAAATTATATGGAATTATTAGCAAGCTTTCCCAAACACAATTTACTCTAGGGCAGTGGTTCTCAAACTGTGCTCCTCCAGATGTTTTGGACTTCATCTTCAATTCCTAACAGCTGGTAAGATGGCTGGGATTTTTGGGAGCTGAAGTCCAAAACACCCGGAGAGCACAGTTTGAGAACCACTGCTCCGAGGAGACAAACTACATATATATTTATTTATTGTGGTCAATGACCAGCACCAAAAAATTAACAATCATTGGAATAGGAACATATACATTTAGGTATTAAGAAATACTGTCAAAAGCTCTGGGAGATAAACTACAGCATGGTCCTCATATCAATCAGGGATAATACAGTCAAAGATCATGCAGATTTGCTAGGCTACATTGAGAGCACTTATCCTACAGATATAATTTAAATTTCTGTGATGTATGTGAAGAAATGATACCACCTAATTAATTTTTTTTAAGCTGAGATCTAATTTTCTAAAATGTCCACAGAGAATTGTGGTAGGAGATGCTTCGGAAACAGCTCTGCTGAAGTTTTCAGAAGTTGTTTTGGGCAATGTGATGGAAATCCGGAAGAAACATAAGAAAGTGGCTGAGATTCCTTTTAACTCAACTAACAAATTCCAGGTAAGTTTGATTTCTTAGAAGAAGCTGGTGTACAGAGATGTTAAGAGGAAATATAACATCATGGGAATATTTTTGCTCACTCATACCCAATTGATTAAAGTGAATCAACACGAAACATGATGAGGCCTTTGAAGGCACTGAACAGACTGTGCTCTGGCACCACGAGATGCAGAGCCAACCTTAAGAAATGGGACCACAAAGTGGATTCCACGACATGCGAGTGTGGAGAAGAGCAAACCACAGGCCACCTATTACAATGCAACCTGAGCCCTGCCACATGCACCACGGAGGACCTTCTTTTAGCAACACCAGTGGCACTCCAAGTGGCCAGCTACTGGTCAAAATTTAATATAATGCCAAGTTTATAAACTTGGTGTTTTTTTAAAATACATTATAGCTATTCCCTTAGTTCACTCCTGATATGATAAATAAGTGATGAGGCCTAGATCCAACCCACACCATACAGCTAGAAACAGCCACTTTAAAAAGAGACAACATGGGCCAACTGTGATTCATACCTCAATAAACATTATTGAGACTTATGGTGCTATATAAAATATATCATTGTTGCCATATATTAAATTTGTATGAGCTGTCAAGCTAGCTTGACTTTGTGTTATGTTCTACTTCCCCGGGAGTATGAAATTGAAAAGAAGGTTTTAAATCAATCCTCAAAAGCATCAAAGCAGTGCATTTCAACTGTGGCATTTCTGTTGCCTGCAGCTTTCCATCCATGAGACGGATGATCCTGAAGATAAACGCTTCCTGCTTGTGATGAAAGGTGCCCCTGAAAGGATTCTGGAGAGATGCAGCACCATGATGATTGATGGGCAAGAGGTGCCTCTGGATGAGGAGAAAGAAGAAGCTTTCCAAACGGCATATATGGCACTGGGAGGCATGGGAGAGAGAGTCCTGGGTGAGTTGAATGTTTGCAAAATAACATGCACATTGATCATCAAATGGGTTATATTTGCATTTTGAAAATCCATCATGAAATGATTTAACTGATCATTCTAGAGCAAGACATCCAACTTTGGTTTGTTTGGCTGCACTGGATATGTGGCATTTATATAAAGCAGTGCTAACTACATGTAGTACAATCCCCCACATCCTTGGGGCATATGTTCTTAAACTTATCATAGAAACAGAAAATGAATGATGTTGAATTTGATGACTTTCCTGTATATACCATAAAATCTCACTAGAAGACATATACATTCCTTGGGCATCTAGGAATTCGCTAAGTCCTGTAGAGAAATTCTATATTAACTTCTGGCAGCAGCATACCACAGAATTGCCCAGCAAATTCATCAAGAGTTAGCTTCTCTAGGTATTTGTTAGGTCCTCCAGTGAGAACTTGATGATGATCTCAGGGAGAAGAATATGATAGGATTGCCTGGAGGGCCAAGAAAATTGCTAGTTATATTAATTGTACTGTTTTATTTGTTTGCTGTTTTGTTTTTACTGATGTGATGTTGAGCTTGGCCTCATGTAAGCCGCCCCGAGTCCCCTTGGGGAGATGGTAGCGGAGTATAAATAAATTTTATTATTATTATTATTATTATTATTATTATTATTGAGGATCTATTTTGTCAGATGCAGGTAGTTAAAACTGCACATATGGGTCCTGTGGGAGTGGGAGATCATATTGTGCACTGTTTGATCTGTATTCTAGTGACTAAGACTATGGTTTATGAAGTCTCCAATTTGGATCTCCAATCTACTATTATTGATGGATAAGAGGTATCTCTGGGGCACAGAAGAGGCTTTCCAAACAGCATATATTGCCTCTATTCTTTTTTAACATATCCATTGATCTAGTTGCAAGGTCATCCATTGTTGGGAGTTGCCAACAATATGTTGATAATACCCATCACTGTCTCCCTTTTGCAACTGATGCCAAGAGGATCATGGAAATCTCAAATCATTGTCTGGATAGAGTGAAGAACTGGGTGTGCGTGAACAACCTGTGGATCAATCCAGATCAAACAGAATTTCACAGTGCTTTGTGCCTTAATTATTTTTCTACTTGTAGCTATTCAGAAGCTATCGTAGCACAAAGCTGATTATCCATAGTATGACTTGTATTCTTTCTTCCTTAACTTCATCTTTTGGGATGTCTCCTTATTCTTTGACCTCCAGGCTTCTGTTACCTGTATCTGCCAGAGGAAGAATTTCCAGAGACGTACACCTTTAATACGGACACCATGAACTTCCCTACTTCCAACCTCTGCTTTGCGGGGCTCATGTCAATGATTGATCCACCTCGATCTACTGTCCCAGATGCTGTCATGAAATGTCGGAGTGCTGGCATCAAGGTGGGTTTTCTGAAAAGCAACTTCCAAATGGGTTTTAAGTGCATTGGGCCCCTTTCCACAATCTTGTTCTGCATGTTAGTGATTAGCAATTGCACACATTTTTCAGAACTCTTTCCTGATATTGATGCTAATTATTATAACTATGTATAATAGTTTGCATAGTTGTAGTAAGATTATTCCATGACAACTCCAACTATAGTGAAAAGAATTGACAGATTTGAGGAATTTCAATATATATAATGGGAAATGCTTTCTTTTCACTGTACAAATATCTATCTAAAATACTTTATTTACAGCCAACCACTGCAAATTTTAACTGTCAGTATTATATGTATTTTGGTATGTGCATTTCAATAGTGTAGTGTTTTATCTGTCTGTTTTAACCATGTTGTACCTCAACTTGAGCCACAAGGAGAGGCGGGTAACAAATAGATTGATGATGATGATGATGATGATAATAATAATGATGTTCAGAACAATTCTGTCTCTGTAGCCATAAGTTGCCTCCTTCACATTATTCATCTGAAATGCTTGTTCTTTTGATAGGTGATCATGGTCACTGGAGATCATCCAATTACAGCCAAAGCTATAGCCAAAAGTGTAGGAATCATCTCAGCCACCAGTGAAACAGTGGAAGACATTGCTAAGCGCCTCAATATTCCAGTCGAGCAGGTGAACAAACGGTAAGGATGGCCCATAAATGCAAGTCAACATATGCTCCTTAAGGTGTTACCCTTGTTCAACTATGTTATTGATTCTATCACTTAGCAATATCTATTTTACTAGAGTGCTCCAAGACCGTTACTTTGGGGCTTCTATAAGTGGAGTTCTCTAAGACTTGTGTGCCAGCTGTGTCCATATCTTGGGAAGTCAGACTTGGCCACGGTGGTCCATGCTCTTGATACATCTCTATTGCAATACACTCTCCGTGAAGTTGCTTTAGAAGACTGTTCAGAAGCTTCAAGTAGTCCAATGGGTGGTAGTCACGGCTAGCAGTGATACACAGGGAGCATACAACCACCTGTTGAGGGAGCTCCACTGGCTGCCAATTTGCTATTGAGCACAATTCAAAGTGCTGGCTTTAGCCTATAAATCCCCAAACAGTTCAACTGTAGCTTACCTATCAAGACATATCTCCCCTTATGAGCCAGTTGGAGCATTAATATTGACTGAGGAGTTCCTGCTCTTGGTCCCACCACCCTCACAGGCGCAACTGGTGGAGACGAGAGACAGGACCTTCTCAGTGGTGGCTCCTCAGCTGTGGAACTCCTCACTGAGATCAGATTGACCCCCTCCCTCCTGACATTTAGGAAACTACTTAAAATGTGGCTTTTCAAGCAAACATTTGGGGAGTGAAATGAAGTAGACAACTTCGGGATTGGTGCAATGTTGAATGTTCTATGTTTTATTTTTGTCTATGTCCAATGTTTTATAGTTTACTGATTTTAATCTATTGTTCTATGCTATTGTAGTTATTTTTGTATTTTATATTTTGTAAGGCATTGAATTTTGCCACTTACTTTGTTGCGAACCACTTTGGGTTGAGAAAAGTGGCATATAAATGAAATAAATAAATAAATCCCTTCCTGTCAAACTTTTCTAGCACTGGATACGTGACTAGAACCTTTTTTTTCTGGCCCCTCATCCACTAGGTATATTTATTTATTATTATTTATTTAAAACTTTTATATCCCGATCTTTTCTACCTCCGTAGAGGGACTCAGACTGGCTAACAGCAAAAATTCAATGCTAACACTAAAATCTAAAATATCATACATCAGCATTAAAATTAACCAATATACATAACATAACAGCTGTTCGCCAAGATAAACTCATGTCAACTCAGTCCATATGTTCAGTCCATATATTGTGGTCAGTAACTTTGGTCAATTGCCAGTCTCAGACATCATTCTGCAAAAACTTTGTTCCACAGCCAAGTTTTCACTAGCTTCCTAAAGATCAGGAGGGAGGGGGCAGATTAATTTCATTCGGGAGGGAATTCCATAGCCGAGGAGCCACCACAGAAAAGGCCCTGTCTCTCATTCCTACCAGACACACCTGCGAAGGTGGCGGGACCGAGAGCAGAGCCTCTCCAGATGATCTTAATACTCTTGATGGTTCATATTCAAATGCAGGTATTCAAAAAACTAAAATAAGAACCCCAAATCTGACAAACCTCTGTTCCCAACCTCTTTCACGCAGGCATAATTTGTTCAGGCAGCTTTCCACTTTCACAAATGTGACCCATTCGATAACATTTGTCAGTGTCCCTTTATCTGATTTTCAGACTACAAGTCTTTTTTTCCCAATCTACATAAGATAGTCAGATTTACTTGGATGTAATTTTCATACTGCGAGTTGCATTCGATTTGACTGTGATTGCTTTTTTTTCCAGAGAGGCCAAAGCTGCTGTAGTCAATGGAATGGAGCTGAAAGACATGACTTCAGACCATTTGGATGACATCTTGATCAACCATTCAGAAATCGTCTTTGCTCGCACTTCGCCCCAGCAAAAACTGATCATTGTGGAGGGCTGCCAGAGACAGGTGAGTGACAATGAAGGAAGAGAAAAGTATACATTCAGTACCAATAAACTCTTGTGAGCTTCATGGAAAATAGCTATGCAAGTGGCAATGATAACAACAATATAGCAGGCAGGGATGAGGAAAGAACAGGTTTAACCACCTCTATTTTCAAAAAGGACTTTATGAGTTTTCCAGTTCTGTGCCGTCACACCCAGACCCTATAACATTAAAACTAAGATGTGCTTCTCTCTTTATTTGGGTGAACCGCTGGGAGTCTTTCTTTGAAGCAATAACTCAATACTTTCAGCAACTGATGCCAGTCAAGATATGAACATCAACAAAATGTTTATTTCCAAAGTCCTTGGCAGACTTGGCACAGCTTGATAAAGTTACAACACAAACAGTCAATTTGAGAAACCATAGAGATGTTCTTTCTTTCCCCTTTTCTTCAATTACTGAGGTAATCTTTCTCCAAATGGTAGAAAAAATCCTGAGATATTTCACCCTAACCCTGAGCTGCTATGGTTAGAAAGAACAGGTCTTCCCCTATCTAAGCACAAGGTCAGTTTTGGAGATGAAGTAATGCTCAATAGTGCTCAATAACTATTTCTCTCTATTTCTCAATAACTCAGTTACTCAATTACTATCTCAATATCTTAATATATATCTCTCTGTATAACTCAATAGTACTCCCAATGGGTTTTTCAGAGCTCCCTGCCTGACCAACAGCACATCTGAGGTTCTTTTCTCTACTGAAGGAGGCAGGGGAGATTCCAAAATGGAGATCTCAACCCCAGGAAAAAGGGCGGACTCCAAACCCAAAGAGATACTTTCTAAACCAATGACTGCAGAGGGCCTGCAGCCTGGCTTTCCAGGCTCTGATACTGTTTAACTTCCAGGGTGCTGCTGGTTCTATAGCAACCCTGGGGAAATGCAAAGGAATGGTATCCCATGCAGCTAAAAGGCAATGTAAACCATGCTCCTGGAAGACGGAACAAGTTCTCATCCGAGACTTGTCCGTAATGCTGCCATTTTAAAAATGCTTGTTCCTATTTTACCATTTGCAGCACCCACATGCAAAGTAATATTTATTTAGTCCTCTAAGGGAAGTACAGAAGGTGAGGCAAAGGGTGTTATATAGAGCCTATGTTTAGGAACCAGAGCCTATAAGCTGTTCGGCACAGTATTATTTATAACCAGACTCAATGTACTAAATCCTCAAAAACAAGATACCCGGTATTTGCCTTAATCAGGTTGTGTGGGTTTTTCCTCTGCTAAATTTAGCTCCCCGTTTGCCAGATTCCTTTTCACTTAGGTATTGTGACCTTTCCTAATAAGGACAGGGTTATGTGAATTGCACCGAACAGCTATGGATTTGGAACCATCAACTTACATAAACCTCTTAATAGATACATGTTACTATAATAATTTCAGACTTGCATTAGATTATTTAAAGAAAAGAGATCAGCCAATGCTGTAAAACCTGAATTAGCCACCTCTTGGTTATCTAAAATGTCTAAAACTGTATTCTGATTGGTTTGCATGACACTATGCCACTATTACTTATCTGCATATATAGGCGATTTCAAGGCTATATGGACAAATTCAGTTTTGCCCTATGCAAGTAGCCACATAACACACTACGGCACAAAATGAGGTTATTTTCCATTTACAAAAAGTAGACCGAGAACATAACTGGTTCCATTACAGAAAGTAACAAATGTCCCTTAAGGCAGAAATAGGATACCTTTAGATAGAAATGACAGGGCTGTTTATGCAATTGACTGATGTTATAGCTAAGCTGAGGGAATGGTTATATTTTTCAAGCTGCCCATCCTAAAAATTCCATAGATGCTTCAAAACAGTTCTGGCCCAATTTACCTGTCCGAACGTATCTCCCCTTATGAACCATCGAGAACATTAAGATCATCTGAGGAGGCCCTGCTCTCGCTCCAGCCTTCGTCTCAAGTACATTTGGCAGGGACGAGAGACAGGGCCTTCTCAGTGGTGGCCCCTCGGCTACGGAACGCCCTCCCTAAGGAGATCAGATTGGCTTCGTTGGTCCTAACATTTCGGAAAAAACTTAAAACATGGCTGTTCAAGGAAGCATTTGCAAATATTGAGTAATGGACACAGGAAAATGGAACAATGATACGATGGAATTGGACAATGTTTTTATTTATAATTTACTGTTTACTGTTAATTTACTGTTTTATGTTTTATTGCTGTTGCTTTGATTTTACTGCTGTTAATGTTTTTAAATTGTACTGTGTTTTTGTGGCATTCAATTTTGCCTTGTAAACCGCCTGGAGTCACTGGAAGGCTGAGAGGGGCGGTATACAAATAAAGCAAATAAATAAGTAAATAAATAAATTATTGCATGGGCATGCATGACTAGAGCCTCGCACCAGCAAACCCACACCTGTGTTGGGATAACAAATAGTCACAACTTATTTACTGCTTACAGAAGAGACTCAGGGTTGTCAGACCTGCATGGGTCCTGGATCCAGGGGTCAGGCAGCCCGCTGCTGTCCGATACCTCTTAACCACTCAGGGGGTGCTACTGTTAGTGACTGGCACAAAACTGGGACCCTGACACTGTTGCACCCCTGGAGAACCACCTAACCTCCCCCCCTTCCAATGGGGAGGTATACACAAACCAGATCCAGGACCCATGCCGCATGCCATAAAGTTGTGACAAAGGAACAATGCTCAACAGAAACAATAAAACTTGAACAACATTTATAAAGGGTGGGTGGGCTGGGACACAGGAAAGGTGCGCTACTTGGTGTGGCCTTTTGCAGCCTTTTAAAGGCTACCTGAAGCTTGCGAGGGCAGCCGGCCCAGCTACTAAGGGGGTGAGCAGGGGCTACCTCCAACTGGCAGCCACCCAGCCAGTGGGAACTTCTTCTGGGATGAAGAAGCCCCCTCTGATGCCATGTCGGTTGGGAGGGTGCCCCACTACCACAGCATCTTCACCCAGTCGGGCAGAGCATTTCTGAATAAGTTTCTATAAGGCCCATACACTATCACCAAATCCCAAGTAAGATGGTGGGCAGGCATGTAGCCAGCGGGGGGCTGGGGGGCTTCAGCCCCCCCCCCCAAAAAAATTCTCATGGTGGTTCGCAAAAAGGCCTTACTGGTGCATTATTTAAACTGTTATGTTTATTCATATCATGATCTGATCACCATACTCAATATATCCCATATGCATGGGGGTATTGGGGTAATGATACAAAAGGTTTGCTGGGCTAGACCCTCTTTCACTCAGACTCAGCCCCCCCAACCCCCCCCCCCCCCCCCGAAACGAAATCCTGGCTACGGGCACAATTTCAGTAATATCCCTGGGTTTTTATGTATTCCAGCAAGCTGTAGTTGCAGTGACGGGCGATGGTGTCAACGATTCTCCTGCTTTGAAGAAAGCCGACATAGGGATTGCCATGGGCATCGCTGGCTCCGACGCCGCAAAGAACGCAGCTGATATGGTCTTGCTAGATGACAATTTTGCTTCTATTGTAACAGGAGTGGAAGAAGGTAAGATGTAGCCTATTACTCTGGCCTCTTGCCAATTGCATGCAATCTATGCATTTGGGGTGAGCAAAGTAGAGCCCTACATCTGCACAGAGGCCCCGAGATAATATCTGTAATCCTTAATATCCCCAGACATCTCCAAGAGCAGAGATTAATCTTTTAAATAGGTTGTAGTAGCACTTTTTAACATTAAATTATTACTGCTTGTCATTTTTAAAATGCCACTTCCTGGTTGGGGAGAGAGTTTAGTGTTTTTGGCAGTACATATAGTTCAAGGAGGGTACTGTGTGCAAAATAACTAGCCTTTTAATGCATTGAAAGGGGCTACATTGATGCATGGGTTTGGAATTGGAGACAATATCATGTGCTCACAGTGCATTGACAAAATTTAGTGACCCTCACCGGACGTTGGTATTACTTATTCGGCCTGTGCAGTCAATGAAACAAATGTTTTAATGCTCATTACTAAATAAGGGGGGGGGGGGGGTTTTCTAAAATGTTTCTAAAATATCGTGAGAAGGTTGTATTGTAACTATTGCGATGTAACAAATTTTCTGTTACTTTTGTGCAAGTGTCAAAGGTAGACACCTGGCCTCAGTTGAAACTGCATCAGGTTGCTCCTCACCTCATTGCTTCTTTCAAGTTCATGTTACTTAAATAGGATATAGATCAAATAAAGTGGCAGCTCTTTGTGTCTGGTCTCATTATCCCTTGGTTGCCCATCAGAATTTTTTGCTTTGTATAAATACTAGTGTTATAGAATCTGAGTAACAGTCAAATAATAAGGCACTGTTGTGGAATCTATCCTTTTTCACACCAGTGTTATAACCCTACCACTTGTCCCTGCCAAACTTTCAAATAAATAGGAGATGGAAAACCCAATCTAACCAAATAATGTCCAAGGCCCCCAATACCAAGGTCAACTTTATTGACATTGTGATTGTATTTTTTTAAAAGGCAATACCTACTTTGTAAATACCAGTATTTAAACATGAAAAGACAATACCCAGCCCAACTCTTTAATTGCAGTTCCTACCAAGGTAAATGTGGTAGTCCTACCTATGGTTTCTGTTGCTCTCCAACTCTAACAAAAATGAAATACAAGAGTAAGGTAAAGGTAAAGGTTTCCCCTTGACATTAAGTCTAGTTGAGTCTGACTCTGGGGGTTGGTGCTCATCTCCATTTCTAAGCTGAAGAGCCGGCATTGTCCATAGACACTTCCAAGGTCATGTGGCCACAATGACTGCATGGAGCACTGTTACTTTCCTGCAGAAACAGTACCTATTGATCTACTCATATTTGCATGTTTTCATAGAATCATAAAATCATAGGGTTGGAAGAGACCTCATGGGCCATCCAGTCCAACCTCCTTCCAAGAAGCATAAATATTGCATTCAAAGCACCCCTGACAGATGGCCATCCAGCCTCTGTTTAAAAGCTTCCAAAGAAGGAGCCTCCACCACACTCCAGGGCAGAGAGTTCCACTGCTGAACGGCTCTCACAGTCAGGAAGTTCTTCCTCATGTTCAGATGGAATCTCCTTTCTTGAAGTTTCAAATTGCTAAGTTGGCAGAAACTGGAGCTAACAGTGGGAGCTCACCCCATCCCATGGATTCGAACTGCTAACCTTTTGGTCAGGAAGTTCTGCAGCTTAGCGGTTTAACCCGCTGTGCCACCTGAGTACACAAGAGTACATGAAAGGAAATGTCTACCTTTTCTAACAGCATAAGTAAATTAGGATAATTCTCATTAATAACATATAGCATTTTCTTTTAGCAGGTTGCTTTCAGAAATATCTGACAATCTCATCCTTTCTTTATTCTATTCCTCATCTACAGGTCGCTTGATTTTTGACAACCTGAAGAAAACCATTGCCTACACCTTGACCAAAAACATTGCTGAGCTTTGTCCTTTCTTGATTTACATCATTGCCAGCATCCCATTGCCCATTGGCACCATCACCATCCTTTTTATTGACCTGGGCACAGACATTGTGAGTCTTAATTTCCTTTTAAAAAAATGCAGTTTGCATTGTTGCCGTAACATATAATTTACACAATGAAGGTCAATAATTACCTTGCCAGCTTCTTCCTCCTTATTTCCTGTGTAGTAGAACACCTTTGCTAGTTAAGGAGAAAAATACTAGAGAATTTACTAAAGACTTCTAAGAGGTGATCTGATTATCAGTTAGATCATTGACCCAACTTGCCTACGCTTGCCAATGCTAACTGGCTGCCTAACCAGGGTTTCAAACAAAAATATTTTCAATGCTCTACCAAATACTAAATTTAATTCTGGGAAATTTCCATAACCAGATGAGATCAGATGTATTCAGCAGAAGTTCTTTTTCTTCACCAAAGACAGCCTGATCTAATTAACTTAATTGCTCAGTTATTCTTGCTAGACTGTCTTGACAGAATTACTTTTATATTCATACCCTGGAGCACTACAAATAAAGCAAAACACACACCTATCTAAAGCCCCATCTATAGTGCCATATAAAATCCAGTTTATCTGCTTTCAGCTAGATTATATGGCATTATAGACTAATATAATCCAGTACAAAGCAAATAATCTGGATTTTATATGGCTAAAAGTCTTGTATGACAAGCAACACACACACCTATCTAAGGTCTCAGCTATAGTGCCATATAAAATCCAGTTTATCTGCTTTCAACTGGATTATATGGCAGTGTAGACTAATATAATCCAGTCCAAAGCAAATAATCTGGATTTTATATGGCAAAGAGTCTTGAATGACATCAGTGGAACATTTATTAAATAAATTCCTCTTACAGATTCCTTCTGTCGCACTGGCCTATGAAAAAGCAGAAAGTGATATTATGAAAAGGAAGCCACGACACAAAAAAAAGGACAGACTTGTCAACCAAGAGCTTGCTGTGTACTCCTACTTACAGATAGGTATGACATATGATTTTATAGAAGTTCTAAATAGGTGCTTTGAATCATATATATATATATATATATATATATAGAGAGAGAGAGAGAGAGAGAGAGGGAGGGAGGGATGCCATCCCCTGCCACGCGTTGCTGTGGCCCAGTCTGGTGATCTGGAAAATAAAGTAATGTGAAAGTGTTAGTTTCTAATATATTTAATTTCTTTATGCTTGTGGGTGAACAATATTTCTTGTTGTTTCTTAATCAGTGTTGATGTGGGGATTGTCTGGTTTGCCTCCTCTGGAACATGTAACATATCATTGTACTTCTTTAGGAGTCCCTTTCAAATCTAGGATACAATATCTGTGTGTGTGTGTGAAACATATATATCTATATCTATGGATGGATGGCTCTTTGTCAGGAGGGCTTTGATTATGTTTTCTTGCCCTGGTGAAAGGAGTTGGACTGGGTGGCCTTGAGTATTTTCTGTTGGCCATGGGGGTTCTGTGTGGGAAGTTTGCCCCAATTCTGTCATTGGTGGAGTTCAGAATGCTCTTTGATTGTAGGTGAACTATAAATCCCAGTTACTACAACTTCCAAATGTTGTGGTCTATTTCCTCCAAACTCCATCTGTGTTCATATTTGGGCATATGGAATATTTGTGCCAAGTTTGGTGCAGATCCATAATTGTGTAAGTCCCCAGTGCTCTCTGGATGTAGGTGAACTACAACTCCCAAACTCAAGGTCAATGCCCACCAAACCCTTCTAGTGTTTTCTGTTGGTCATGGGAGTTCTGTGTGCAAGTTTGGTTCAATTCCATCATTGGTGGAGTTCAGAATGGTCTTTGATTGTAGGTGAACTATAAATCCCAGCAACTACAACTCCCAAATGACAAAATCAATTTTTTGAGTGAAGGACATTCATTGGCCTGATAGGTGTTTTGTGTCCAAATTTGGTGTCAATTCGTCCAGAGGTTTTTGAGTTCTGTTAATCCCACAAACGAACATTACATTTTTATTTATTTATTTGTTTGTTTGTTTGTTTATCTATCTATTTAGATAGATAGAGAGATAGATAGAGAGAGAGAGAGATAGAGAGAGAGATAGAGAGAGAGATAGAGAGAGAGAGAGAGAGAGAGAGAGAGAGATAGAGAGAGAGAGAGAGAGATAGAGAGAGAGAGATAGAGAGAGAGAGAGATAGAGAGAGAGATGACTGTATGTAATCTGGTGCTCTTTTATTTGGGATGCAAAAATTATCCAATAAAAGCTAACATGCATTGGGACATTATAATGTTTATGATTTTCCTTCTCTCCTGTAAAGATGTCTTATTTCTTCTTTTGTAGGTCTTCTGCAGACAATTGGAGCCTTTCTGACCTATTTCACAGTTTATGCTGAGCAGGGCTGGCTCCCACACACACTTCTAAACATCAGAGTCGACTGGGAAAACCCATTTCATAATGACTTGCAAGACAGCTATGGACAAGAATGGGTATATATAGCCATCTTCTTCAATTAGATCGCTAATTATTGTTATTGGAACATGACAATAACCATCTTTATACAAGGGAAATGTTTTGTTTGGTGCTAGCCACAAAAATACCCATTGGGAGGGCTGGCAACAAAGATCTTTGTTCAGCTCCAAAATTAGCAAATTAATGTTTGCTCTCCAGTAGATAATAGTTGTGTAATAGATCAAAGTGGTTTGTCTTAAAGAAGCCAGCACCACGCAATCCAATGTCCCTTAGCTTAGGCTAAGTACTTGCATGTGTACACGGTCCACATATTCTTAATTCCTGATACCCAGGAATAACTTTAGTTAATAATATTATATGTTCTGCAGGTACACCCATGTAGCCTGCAGTTCGTAAGGCAAGTGTTATCCACTGTTGGCTTTGTAAGCGTCCTAGGCTTCATTACTTGTTTGTTAGCAGCCTGAAGGCAACGGCGCTCCATGCAGTCATGCTGGCCACATGACCTTGGAGGTGTCTACGGACAACGCCGGCTCTTCGGCTTAGAAATGGAGATGAGCACCAACCCCCAGAGTCGGACATGACTGGAATTAATGTCAGGGGAAAACCTTTACCTTTATCTTTACCTATGTCACTATGTTTGGTTTACTGCTCACTGTCACTGTTTGGTTTACTGCTTTTTTTCTCAATGTTTTGTGTATATTGCTTAATGTCTATGTTGTTTATTTTATTGCAACTTGTATTTTATTTTATTGTAATGTGTTGTTTGGGCCTGGCCTCATGCAAGCCGCCCCGAGTCCCCGTCGGGGAAGATGGTGGTGGGGTATAAATAAATATTATTATTATTATTATTATTATTATTATTATTATTATTATTATTACCTAGCTGCCTGAAAACTGTAGAAACATGTAGAAATATTTATCAGACCTGGCTATGTTCTGCTTGCTGCAACGCATTGCCGAAGCTCTCTTGAGGTCAACCATTCAACCCTCTTTCTTCGTTTGCAGACTTTTGAGGAGCGGAGAATACTGCAGTATCATGGTTACACGGCCTTTTTCGTCAGTATCACCATTCAGCAAGTAGCAGATTTGATCATCAGAAAGACACGACGGAATTCTATTTTTCAGCAAGGGCTTTTCAGGTTAGTGCAAAATCTACCAAGTGGAGTCCCTTATGTTCAGAAGCTTCAAAACAACTTATCCCTCTTCTCTGTTTTTAAATGGCCTATTATTATTATTATTATTATTATTATTATTATTATTATTATTATTAATTAATTAACTAGCCGTCTCCTGCCATGCATTGCTGTGGCCCACATGGGGGTTCTGTATGGGAGGTTTGGCCCAATTCTATCATTGGTGGGGTTCAGAATGCTCTGTGAACTATAAATCCCAGCAACTACAACTCCCAAATGTCAAGATTCTATTTTCCCCAAACTCCACCAGTGTTCACATTTGGGCATATTGAGTATTTGTAGAGTTTGGTCCAGATCCATCATTGTTTGAGTCCACAGTGCTCTCTGGATGTAGGTGAACTACAACTCCAAAACCAAAGGACACTGCCCACCAAAATCTTCCAGTATTTTCTGTTGGTCATGGGAGAAATGTGTGCCAAGTTTGGTTCAATTCCATCATTGGTGGGGTTCAGAATGCTCTTTGTTTGTAGGTGAACTATAAATCCCAGCAACTACAACTCCCAAATGACAAAATCATTTTTTTAGTGAAGGACATACATTGGGTTGTTAGGTGTCTTGTGTCCAAATTTTGGTGTCAATTCATCCAGTAATTTTTGAGTTCTGTTAATCCCATATATGAACATTACATTTTTATTTATATAGATTAATACCGAGAGAAGGGTCTCTCCTGATCATCTCAGGGCCCACAAAGTTTCATGCAAGGAGATGCGGTCAGCCAAATAGCCTGGGTCTGAGCAAATTGTGTTGTCCAGATGATTGATCTTGACATGTTATGCTTAAAATAATTTCCAGTTCATTCCCATGTCCAAAGTAAATCTTAAAAAATCCTCTTCCAATATTAATGGGGTATCCATATATTTTTTAATGTTTTTAATATTAATAATGTTTTTCATTAGGCGACACAAATGGCTTATTTTTTTATTACTTTTGTTTGGTTTTATACTATGTATTAATTAATGTTTTATGATGTTCTTAGGCATTGAATCGTTGCCTCTGTAAACTGCCCTGAGTCGCCTGAGGGCCGAGAAGGGTTGTATACAAATATAGTAAATAAATAAACATTTCACAAATAATCTAATAGCCTATTCTATTGTTGTCCTTCATTTCCTATAGGAACAAAGTTATCTGGATGGGCATTTTCTCCCAGATTGGCATTGCAGTGATTCTGTGTTATGGTCTTGGAACTGTGCATGCCTTAAATTTTGCACCCCTCAGGTAAATCAACATGCTGCTATCAATTCATATATGTTTACAGGTGTGGTTAAGGGAAGTGCCAAATTAATAGGGAGGAGGAGATAAACATTAATATTCAATATCATTGAGTTACATTAAATATATTAATAAACAAAACATTACTGTCTGATATCATTGAGTTACATTAGGATATTAAGTATAAGGCCTTTTCTTTCCAAACCCCTAATGCTCTCCATCTTTTTTGTTAGGGTTCAGTATTGGTTTGTTGCTATGCCTTATGCCATCTTGATATGGGTCTACGATGAAATTCGCAAGCTGGTCATCAGGCGGCACCCAGGAAGTAAGTAGCTGGCACTTTGCGTGGTTATGCCTTTAAGCAGCCATCAATTTAATTAGAGTTTCTTAGGCAAGGAATACTAATAGTACAATTTTTAACATTTTATGCACAAAAATGACATGTGAGAAAATTTTGCAGACTGACTACTGAACAGTTTTTTTGTGTCAAGAGCGACTTGAGAATCTGCAAGTCACTTCTGGTGTGAGAGAATTGGCTGCCTGCAAAAACATTGCCCAAGGATTGGCTGGATGTTTGATGTTTACCATCCTTGTGGGAGGCTTCTCTCATGTCATGGGAAGCTACAGCTTGACAGACAGGAGCTCAACTCACTATCCCCAGATTTGAATTGCTGACCTGTTGGTCATCAGTCCTGCCAGCACAAGGGTTTAACCCATTGTACCACAATGAAATCAGCCGAGGACTCACTTAGTGTTTCTTAGTGCTAAATATTTCCAAATATCCTTTCTACTTCTAGTTCAGCAGCACTTATGTATATCAGGGTTTCTCAACTAGGCATGGCAGGATTCTGTGCGATGTTGTTATCTATCTATCTGTTAGGCATGGTTAGGTTTGGTCAGAATCTTTGTAATTTGGAATAAATTTGGAAATATTTGCTTTTTGAAGCAATTTTGAATTTTTTAAGGAAACCAGAAGTCCCTTTGCCCTTCCAAAGCTTTTTCTGCCATTTCTGTTATGGAGCAGTAATTGAGTCAGATATGTTTCAGCTTTTCCCCGCTTCTGGTCTCAAGTCTGGGAAGCGTTTTAAACCAGAGGGGATGGATTTCCTGCCTTTCCTCTCCCCTCACTTCTAGTCTCAAGCCTGGGAAGCGTTTTAAACCAGAGTGGAAGGATTTCCTGCCTTTCCTCTCCCATCGCTTCTAGTCTCAAACCTGGGAAGCGTTTTAAACCAGAGTGGAAGGATTTCCTGCCTTTCCTCTCCCCTCACTTCTGGTCTCAAGCCTCAGAAGCATTTTAAACCAGAGTGGGTGGATTTCCTGTCTTTCCTCTCCCCTCGCTTCTGATATCAAGCCTGGGAAACGTTTTAAACCAGAGTGGATGGATTTCCTGCTTTTCCTCTCCCCTCGCTTCTGGTCTCAAGCCTGAGAAGCCTTTTAAACCAGAGTGGATGGATTTCCTGCCTTTCCTCTCCCCTCGCTTCTGGTCTCAAGTCTGGGAAGCATTTTAAACCAGAGAGGATGGATTTCCTGCCTTTCCTCTCCCCTCGCTTCTGGTCTCAAGCCTCAGAAGCATTTTAAACCAGAGAGGATGGTTTTCCTGCCTTTCCTCTCCCCTCGCTTCTGGTCTCAAGCCTCAGAAGCGTTTTAAACCAGACTGGATGAATTTCCTCCCTTTGCTCCCCCGCGCGTCTGGAGTAAATCAACTACTTTCAAAGTAAAGACCACCCAATGAAACAGGAAATAACACTTTCAAACCATTAAGGAAGGATTCGGAAGTCTCGGAAGTTTCAAAAAGTTTTGAACTTTTTTCCGTGAAAATCGGAATTGACTTCCGAATAGAACCATCAGTGCCCCCTACATCCAAAACGAGTTTTGAACAATTTTTTTTAAAATCAAACAAGCCTACTATCTATCTGTCTAAGCTGTAGATATAATATTATTATGCAAGGACTCCCCAAGAACTTAACATTACTTCAATGATTATTCCCCCAGGGTAAAATGTTGAGAATGGTGACCTTGCCTTGACAATTTAAGCCAGACAACTAACTATCTTGCCATTTTGGAAATCACTAATTATTCCTTTGTTTGTTTTTTTCTTCTCTCATAGGCTGGTGGGATAAAAACATGTATTATTGAGGATGCTTTTATCCCTCTTCATTTCGCCATGCTGGAGAGCACAACTTAGTTGTCTCTTCTGTCATCTGATGCTTGAAAGTCCTTGGACTGTGCAATATCAACCAATCAGAGGAACGAGCTGAAAGACTTTTGAATGGATGTACGCTGAACTGCAAAATCTTACCCTTGGATTGCCAACTTGAATGCTGCTTTTGTAATAATACCTGACTCTGTGGTTTAAAGGGTACGAAGTTCAACGAGAAGAAAACTGTGTTGTATATAGAATCAAAGAGGCCACATGTTTGTTGCAATAATATTGTAAGTGACTTGCACTAGGTTTCTTAATATATGTATTTTTGTTGTAGAGAATTATTGTGACACAATCCAACTGTGAGCTTATCTGTGTAGACCAGAGGTGTGTTATTCAGGGCTACGCTGTATAGGCGCAATTTGATAATAAAAATAACTTTTTACATAAAGTCCCTGCTTGTCATGTCCATCTTCTATCAATGGGTGAAGGCTAAGGCAAACCAGAAAAGGATTCATCCCATTAACATTCAAATCAAGGAAAAACCGCTGGCCCTAATAGTTTATAGGAGTCAAGCAAGACCACACCATTTGCCATGACTTATTCTTGTTAATATATATCCTTGTCAGTGCGGTCACGTGGTACAGTAACTCATGGTGTCACCCTCATTGACTTCTTCCTGGAATATTGTAGATATAATGTCCAATTTAAAAAAATAAGATGTAAAAAAAGCAGGAGCAATGAAAACAAGTGTGCATGCTTGTAGAACCTGCAGATGAAACTGTTATTTATGGGTAATAATGAGAGCTTGGACTAGAGTGTATGTGCATTAGGTTCAAAACGTAAATTAGCATATCGTTTTAGCTTTCTAGGTATATCGATACAGAATGTGTAAGCTGAGCTATAAAAATGTTTTAGCCCAGAATTAAAAGTTTTAAAAATGTTTTTAAAATTAAAAGTTTTAAAAATGTTTTTAAAATTAAAAGTTTTAAAAATGTTTTTAAAATTAAAAGTTTTAAAAACGTTTGAGCCCAGAATTAAAAGTTTTTAAAAATAAAATAGCATTTAGTTTTGGATCTGTGGCTACATTGCTACTAGGGAAGGAAAAATGATGACCTGGAGCTCAGTGAAGCCATCCTTCCTGGACTACCTTAAAAATCCTCCCTGTTTTCTCTACTGTGAAAGCAATCTCCTTTCTGCTTGAGGTTTTGCTTTCTTAAAGCTGTTTTTACTTTGTACTAGAGAGGTAGGCTTCTCTTTTTGTTTACTGGGATTATTCTTTTTATTAGTAATTATCTTTTAGTAGTATTTTCTGAAGGAGGGGAAGGGAAGGAAAAAAAGAAGCTAAAAGTGTGATTCCATAAGCCCCCAAACATATACGCGTGCACCCCACCCACCGTCCCTCAGATCTCCAACTGCCATTAAATAAAAAGAATCAGGAAAATAAAGGAAAATAAAAAAAAAGATTAAACTGTGATGCCCAATAGGAGAGGAGGAGCCATGATCAACTGCCACATGGTCCCTTTTCGGATGGGTATCCGTAATGGCTGGCCCCTTGCCCATTTGAGCATCCGAATGAAACAAATAAGCTGAATGGTGTGAATGGAGTCACCTAATAGTCTGCACCCTCTGTATCCCCTTACGGGTGTTAGTACTCCTCACTTTGATTATGTTAACTTTCCTTCAGTTTCTTCTTTTAGAAACTGAAGAGCAGCTTATACAAATAGACTGAAAGTAACTTTATCCACAATCTATATAAATAAAAATGTAATGCTCGTTTGTGGGGTTAACATAACTCAAAAACCGCTGGGTGAATTGACACCAAATTTGGACACCATACACCTATCAGGCCAACGAGTGACCATCACTCATTGAAACACTGAAAAACACAGCAGAAGAGACTTTAAAAGTCAAAAAATAAAACAATACATTACAACGCATGCACAAAACCACATATATATACGCAAACATACATATACACAAATATATACACACATACACACACAAAGCACATACACACAGACTGTGCCACAGCAACACGTGGTAGGGGACGGCTAGTACTTTACATAATTTTGTGAATGAAACCAAGTCTGTGCACACTGAGCAATTAGAAGGCAAAACTGTTGCTATCTCCATCACCCATATGAACAATTCTGGATTTGGGAGTAAGGGTGACAGGAATTATATCTTTGAACCTCATAATTGTAGGTCAAGTGCATTTAGTACCAACCTGTATTGCATCATTCTGTTCGCAGTTTAACCAGTCCAACTTGCTTTCTTCTTTTTACTGCTCAGACTTGAAGTCTTTGATTTTCTATCCCATTCCTCTTTACAATGCATGCCATGACTCTCTTGTTTCAGAGAGCAGAGAGCTTGAACTAGCGTAAAAGCCCATCCCACAATATGTAATCACCTTCTCTCTTTTTCCTGTATGGAAAACAAATCAGCTCTCTTGTTATTCTTCCTTCTTTTATTATTCTTCCCTCTTTTTATATTTTAATAATGTTATTTTTGGTAAACTCAAATGTCTTCCTGAATTGCTAGCTACGATTACTCCTTGGTAGTCAGGGAGGTGTCTTCATTTGCAATTTCCAACCTTCTGCATACTACAGTTAGACATCTTTTCAGTGTAAAAGCATAGGCATAACTTCTGACTGTTCTGATTGGATGGGCACAGTCCTAATGAATTTATATTTTTTTTGTCCCAGTTTCTCTCCTCTCCTTCCACTTTCACCCTTTGTCCTCATTGTTAGATAAAGGCTTACCCAGCTCAAAAAACAATGGTAAAGGTTTTATTCTGGAATGCATCCAAACTGTAGAATTAATGCATTTTGACACTATTTAACTGCCTTGGCTCAATGGTATGCAATCATGGGAGGGGTAGTTCTGCAAGGCCTTTAGACTTCTTTGCCAAAAAAAAGTTCTGGTGTCTCTCCAAACAACTTCCAGGTTTACATAGCATTGACCCATGGCAGTTAAAGTGCGATCATACTGCATTAATTCTACAGTGTTGATGCTTACTTACTTACTTACTTTACTTAGGCGATCCCTCGTAGTCCGAGGATGATGGTCCTCCAAGTTTGGTGTCCTGGGGGTGTCAAGCCACCCCTGGGGGTGGGTTCGTAGGTGGCTGTGGAGCCCTATTCTTGACCTGCATCTTATCCCACAGTGAGGACATCGGTTTCCAGGTGGGAGGCGGTCTAGGTCAGCGTTGGCTTGACGCGCCTTCTTCTTGGCACGTTGGCGACAGTGTAGATGAATCCTAAGATAACAAAATAGCAAATATACCACAAAAGTTTGCCAGGTCTCATGGATGTTAACTGCACCAATTGAAATACATTTGTCAAGATGTAACTTGCTTTTCATTGTTACTTCTTGAGTGGGCTTTTCCACCTATTAATCATTAGACTCTTAGTTCAGAATAATGTGCAAACTTACTTACTACTTACTTAGGTGATCCCTCGTTGTCCGAGTTAGATTATCCTCCAAGTGCAGCATCCTGGCGGTGGGGACGCAGATGACTGTGGAGCCCTATTCTTGACCCACATGTTCTCCCACAGTGAGGGCATAGGTTTTCAGGTGGAAGGTGGTCCCAGTCAGGGATGGCTTGACACACCTTCCTCTTCACACATTCCTCCCTTTCACCCTCCGTTCGTGCCTCTTCCACAGCACTGCTGGTCACAGCTGACCTCCAGAGGCAGGGCTTCCCAGTTCTCTGTGTCTATGCCACAGTTTGTAAGATTGGCTTTGAGGCCATCTTTAAATCTCTTCCTGTTCCCCACTATCCCATTTTCCATACTTGAGTTGGGAGTAGAGTAACTGCTTTGGGAGACAGTGATTGGGCATTCGGACAACGTGGCCAGTCCAGCAAAGTTGATGGTGTAAGAGAATAGTTTCAATTCTGGTGGTCTTTGCTTCTTCCAGCTGCTGATATTTATCTGCCTGTCTTCCCAAGAGATTTTCAGGATTTTTTGGAGGCAACACTGATGGAATCGTTCCAAGATTTGAGCGTGATGCCTGTAGACGGTCCACGTTTCACAGGCATATAACAGGGTTGGGAGGACAATAGCTTTAAAAAAAACCAACTTGGTCTCCCTACGGATGTCCCAATCCTCAAATACTCTCATTAGGAAAAATTAGTCACATAAGCAAATACATGAGCACCAAATACACAAGTAAAGAACTGACAGAGATCCAACATGGTTTTTTCAGTGACACAGCATTGTATAAGATTGCTCTAAGAATACGATAAGTTGAGGTCAACATCATTTTATAGAAAAACTAGAAACAATGCAAGTATTTTGGGGCAAATAATTGTCATTAAAAGCATTGAGACAAAGTTCAAATAAGGTGGCCAGTCTCAATCTTTAATCCAAGCCAAGGAATAGCCTTGGTTTGCCTTTTATCCACTATTTCTTGTGTTCAAATGAAAAAGTCAATGGTACATTACGTTAACTCATGAATGTTCCTGACAATAATACAATATGCTCTTAGTTCTTGCACAGTGTAACCTCCTGTGAAAATTAAATGAAATAGTCCACTTCGTTTCAAAGAAACTTTAATGAAAGGAAACACTGCATTCTTCTGGAGGAACATAGTGTACCATCTTATCTCTGGATCCTAGACCTTTCACCTAGGAAAAATGCCTTATCGTCTTCATCATGTCACTGTGTGGCGGTTCTGGCGGCTAAGATCTGAATAACATTCAAATGTGGGTTTTTTCCTCTCTTCTTGGAGCTTCTCTGATATTTTTTATCTTTTCTCTAAAATTGCTTGCTGGAAGTGTTATCAATTTATTTCTCTCCTGTCCAATGCGGTAAACTCATGAAAGAGGATTTAGGGAGGAATAACATTCAATTTTACCCTGCCCTTTTGAAAATGTTGGTAGTTTATCTAGCTAGTTGCACAAATAATACAGTAACTTTCCACTTTTGATGGGGTTATGGGCCCAGAACCCCTGCAAAAGAGCAAAAACAAAAGAAGGAAAACCTCTACCATGGAATCCAAGTCCTACTCAGGCTCCAATGCTTTGCTCTGTTTTAATTATTGTGTTTCGAGGATTAAAAATTGAGGCATTCCAAAATACAAGTTCACTAAGAAATATTGCAGGGGTCATGGCTCTGTGGTATAGCATGTCGTTGATAGATCCCTTAGCTAGAAAACAAGGACATTTGTGGGTTGGATGGAGAAATAAGTGAACTCAGGACTTTATCACATGAGGGAATTGACATTGAAACAAAACCAACGCCAAATGTGAAGGTCCCTTTAGCATGATGCCATGTGCACTGCGTTGCCAGTTAACTTGTCTCCCATTATTGACAGGCAAAACCCTAGATGCTAAGACCACAATGTTCCTGTCATTTGACTAATGTGATAGGACTGTTCTGCTTCTATCCTGGCATGTTTTATCTTGGCTCCTTCCTGTGTCTTCAGTTGGGAAACCCTCCCACCAGTACCAACTGCTGCTCTGGGCCAGAATGAAGAGAGAGGGTGTTGGGGTTCAGCCTGATCCTGATCTGTGTGAACAGGATTCTCTGATAGTTTTTCCAACTGAGCAAGCTCTCCCTGACTCTGACAGTGTGGAATCTGTTGTTGATGCAGAGGTCAGTGGGGATGAAAACGAAACCCAACAGCTGGAAGAGAATGTTTTGGAAGTTAGCCGTGATATCTCTCCACCTGGGGTTTTTAATGAGAACCGAAGAGAACAGATAGTCAGAGATAGAAATGTTTCCCAGTTTCTACGAAGGTCACAGCGCTTACAGCAGAAAGAGGCCCAGACAGAAAAGTCAAGGGGCGTTTCTAAGAATAGCTTCTTTGGTTTAAGAGGGTTCCTGCCGGGTGATTCTTTAGGTCAAGCAACGTTCGGGACTGTGGCTGGTCTTGGCAGAATTCCTGTGTTCCATGGCCAGTAATCCCAGAGGCTTCTAGTTTCCAAGTTCATGGTTAATAAAAGGCTAACAGACTCCTGGTTATTGTTTTGTGGCTTTTGAAGTTTTGCTCAAGTTCAGAGATCCTATTGACTACTGTGTTTTTTCTGTGGCTTTTTGACTCTGCATTTACCTTTCTTTTGTAACCAATTTTTCATCAATAAACAAGGATTGCTTTTCCTACAGTCCAGAGTGGTGGATTTAATCTTATGGTCTTGTTTCTTGAACTGGGATGCAACAGAGGGGGCCAGGAGGACAGTTCCATTTTGTCTCCTGTACTATGCTAATAATATAATATAATATAATATAATATAATATAATATAATATAATATAATATAATATAATATAATATAATATAATATATATTCATATAATATTTATAATATTAAAATGTATTACAATATAATAATACAATATTATAATTATATATTTTATATTACATGTAATATTACTAATAATATTACAATATAATGGTATAGTACAATATAGTAATATTTAATACTGATATTGTACTATGCTAATAACATAATATATTGTATATATATATATATATTGTAAGCTGAGTTCCCTTTGGGGTGAGAAGGGCGGCATATAAATGCCGTAAATAAATAAATAATGTTGGTATGTAGCCATAATGGTGATTGTTATCAGTATTTGCATAACTGCTATGTGTGATAAAATCCTCAATATAGGACAGTTGTGTGCATGAAAAGCATAGCTTTTTTAAAAAAATCAAAGGCTTGCATTTATTTATTAATTGTGTCAGAAGCAAATTGAGAATATAGTTATAATGCATCAAAAACCACAAACAAAGTTTAAAACTTTGCATTATGCTAAATTTCCTTTGACCAGAAGCTTTGGCTAATGTTTTTGAATTGTAGCTTGTTGTCGACCTTTGCAGCCCGAAAGACAGTTGCATCTGTAGGAAATTACGTACCACTTATGTGGGGAGGCTAATTTAACTGATTTATGAGGTCATAAAAATCTCCAGGAAGTATGCAAAGAATGAGGAAGTACTTCATCAGTGTCAAAAACGGATGGTGAAGTGACAGCTCCCCTGGTGGCCAGAAGCTGGAATGTTAAATAGCCTCTGAGTGTCTGTTTATATATGTTGTGTGTCTATGGCATTGAATGTTTGCCATGTATATGTACATTGTAATCCGCCCTGAGTTCCCTGCGGAGTGAGAAGGGCAAAATACAAATACTGTAAACAAACAAACAAACAAACAAACAAACAAGAAGTATCAGAAGATCCCAGGGTTCTTATCATAGGTATCTTTATTAATTATAGTCTTTTAAAACTCTGGAAGAAAAGTTAAGAAATAAGAAGCCAAAGATGCGTCCCAAAAGAGACGTACAAATATATAAATGCTCCCTTCATTTCTATAGCTAATTGCGTATGTTGAGGCACAACTGGCACATCTATACTGCAACGTACGAAGTGTACAAGACTGCCCAATGAGGATTACAACGAGAATTGCATCTCTAACATGGCACCAAGAAGAAGAAGAAGAAGAAGAAAAATTCATGAGATATTTGGCACTGGTTATCAGTTGACACTCAGTGAAACATCAAAATTTTCTGCTTTGCTTTGGGGATCCAAGAGGAGTCCTTGTTCTACTGCCATGGGGTGAGTGGTTTCGTAAGCCTGCAGAAGAAAGAGACACTGATCAACCAAAAATGATGTCTACCATCAAACTATATGGCTCCTTATATCAGTTGTTGTGGAGCACAGGTTTGTTTGTTTGTTTGTTTACAACATTTCTACCTCATTCTTCTCAACTCCCGAGGGGGACTCAGAGCGGCTTACACTGGCAACAATTTGATGCCGCAATATCACAATATAAGAACAATATAAAACCATAAATACACAATAGATTAAAAACAATAACATTAATTATATAGCCATATAGCCATTTCCATTATCATAACAATTATATGGTCCAGTTCAATATCCAAAGTGCAGTTGTGCCTGCTAGCCAAAAGTCTGGTTCCAAAACCACGATTCCAGTTGTTTTCCTAAAGGAAAGGAGGGAGGACGCCAATCTAATCTCGCTAGGGAGCAAATTCCACAAGCAGGGAGTCACCACCGAGAAGGCCCTGTCCCTCATCCCCACCAGTCGCATTTGCGAGGCCCATGGGATGGAGAGCAGGGCCTTCCCAGTGGATCTTAAACTACGAGGTGGAACATAGAGGGAGATATGTTTCAACAAGTAAGCTCAGACAAGTAAGTAACTACAAGGCGAAATGTAGAGGGAGATTAAGTTCAGACAAGTATGTTTATTTATTTACCTTATTTATATCCCGCCTTTCTCTACCTCAAGGGGCACTCAAGGCAGCTTACAACATACAATACCCAACTAAAAACATGGTTTAAAATTAAAAATATAATAAACATAATTAAAATACATTTCAATGAATCATGTCATCCAGAGTCAGAGTCCGAGGCCATTCTGTAGTCATCTTGCACATTTTTCCATTTTAACATGTTTGCACTATTCTATTTTTTAAAAACCTGCTCCCAGAGCCAGGTTTTGACTCTCCTTCTGAACACTAGGAGGGAGGGGGCTGCTCTGATATCATTAGGGAGGGAATTCCACAACCAAGGGGCCACCACTGAGAAGGCCCTGTCTCTCATCCCCACCAGCCGCGCTTGCGGAAAAGGTGGGACCGAGAGCAGGGCTTCCCCAGACTATGGTTCATAAGGGGAGATATGTTTGAACAGGTAGGCTGGGCCAGAACCATTTATCACAGGCAAATAGTGCATTGAATTCATGACCATTCAATTCTACAATACCCATTAATCTTTTTGCTGTCATTGCCATTTGTTAATTCAATTAACTGTAGATTCTTTTTGGATTCTTTATTTGAACTGTATTGGAGTATATCAGATTTAAAAAATTACAGACTCACCTCCAGCAGCTGGGATATCTAGGGTTGACTTTTTATGAGCCCTTCTGGATTTCATCCTGGGAGAAGGTTTCTTTTGCTCTTGCCAAGTTGCGAGTTTAGCTTCAGGTAGAAGAATTACATCATATAATTCATAGAATATTTTAAAGCAAGACTAGCTGGTTCAGCAGTTCAAAGAACGAGCTAAATATAACATAGGCTATTATCTAGTAAATACACATAGTTTCAAAGCTTTGTTTTGGTTTTCCCCCCTGACAATCTCTGATGCTAAGACATAACCAAGGATTATCAAATTTCATAAGTAGTATTCTTGCCATGGGATCAAAAGGGATTGTTTGGATTACTGCATTACACTCTCCATTTTGGTTTCCAAAATGCTAAGAATTATGTGATGGCATCGCTACAGAAAGGAGAAAAACACTCCAGTTGTTGGTTTGGCTCATCTGTAATTAAATGTCTATAGAAAAGGTGTTCTCCTGCTTGTGAATAGAAACATTTTTAGAATTACAGCTCAAAGGCTATATAAGTACTCAATGAAGCAAGCCTTCTCTTGCCTGGGAAGCAAACTAAAAGTGAAAGCCACACAAAGGGATTTCATTGCAGATGGCAATAGAACTTAATTCTGAATTGTTGGAAATAGCAACCTTCTACAAGCCTCCCATACTAGTTATTTGTTATTAATATAATTGAGATTGCTCACAATATTGTATGTATATTTTGGTATGCATTTCCCCCCTTAACTCTATGTTATTAGAGGTTGTGGGAGGGACTACAGACCACAGTTAAAGCTTGTGCGCCAGCTGCGCCCGTACCTTGGGAACTCTGACTTGGCCACGGTGGTCCACACTCTGGTTACATTCTATATAGACTACTGCATGGGGTTGCCTCTGAAGAGTGCCTGGAAACTGCAATTAGTCCAACGTTCGGCAGCCAGGCTACTAACAGTAGCAGGTTACAGGGAGCACACAACTCCTCTGTTGTGCCAGCTCCATTGGCTGCCAATTAGCTTCCGAGCACAATTCAAAGTGCTGGTCTTAACCAGAGGTGGCCCTAGGTAATTTTCAAGGGTAAGCAAACAGTATTTTGGCGCCCCCCCCCCCCCCAAACCAATCATTGATATATATTTTCTGTTCGTCGTGGGAGTTCTGTGTGCCATATTTGGTTCAATTCCATCATTGGTGGAGTTCAGAATGCTCTTTGATTGTAGGTGAACTATACATCCCAGTAACTACAACTCGCATATGTCAAGGTCTATTTTCCCCCAAGAGTGCCTCAAGAGCGCCCCTGGGAAAAATCAACTATACTGCAAATGCTTACTTTGCGTAATGAGTTGAGCCGCCCCTGGTCTTAACCTACAAAATCCTATATGGTTCCAGCCCAATTTACCTGTCTGAATGTATTCTCCCCTATGAGCCATCAAGGCTGTTAAGATCTTCTGGAGGGGCCCTGCTCTTGGTCCCATCACTTTCACAATTGTGTCTGGTGGGGACGAGAGACAGGGCCTTTTCCGTGGTGGCCCCTCGGCTATGGAACTCTCCCAAATGAGATTAGATCTTCCCACTCCCTCCTGACCTTCAGGATGCTAGTGAAATCCTGGCTATGGAATGAAGCATTCCCAGAATAATGACTGAGACTGGCAACAGATTAAAGTTACTGACATAAACAGACTGAGCTGTACATGATTTTATCTTGTCGCACTGGCTTATATATACTTTATTTTAAATGTATTTTAATCTATTGTCGTTGTATGATGTTTTAGACTATACTGTGGCATTGAATCCTTGCTGTTAGCCGGTCTGAGTCCCTCCGTGGAGGTTAAGAAGATTGGGATATAAAAGTTTTAAATAAATGAATGTATAAATAAATGTGACCCTAATCTTAAAACAGTGTTTCTCAAGCTGGGGGTCAGGACCCCTGGAGGGGTCCTGGAGGGGTTTCATAGGGGTTACCAAAGACCATCAGAAAACATGTATTTCTGATGGTCCAAGGAACCCCTTTGGCAGAGAAGGCTGAAGATCTCTCCGCCTGTCTTTCTCTTCCTTTTTGGAAACAGATGGTGAATCCTCCCACCAAAAGCCCTTCTCCGCTGTGATTGGACGGCTTCTCCAGCGTTTCTCAACCTGGGGATTAGGACCCCTGGGGGGGGGGTCTTGAGAGGGTGTCAAATGGGTCGCCAAAGACCATCTGAAAACACAGTATTTTTGGTTGGTCATAGGGGTTCTGTGTGGGAAGTTTGGCCCAATTCTATTGTTGGTGAGGTTCAGAATGCTCTTTGATTGTAGGTGAACTATAAATCCCAGCAACAACTCTCAAATGTCAAGGTCTATTTTTCCCAAACTCCACCTGTGTTCACATTTGAGCATACTGACTCAAAGAATGATAGATCTGCACCAAACTTAGCACAAATACTCAATATTGTTGTATATTTACATTACAATTCATAACATTAGCAAAATTAGAGTTATGAAGTCGCAATGAAAATAATTTTATGATTAGGGGTGACCACGATATGAAGAACTGTATTCCGAAGCTTTTTCCACCATTTCTGTTACGAAGCAGTAAGTGAATCAGAAATGATTTAGCTATTCCCCGCTTCTGACCTCAGGCCTGGGAAGCGTTTTAAACCAGAGTGGATGGATTTTCTCCCTTTGTTTTGCCTCCCCCCAACTTCTGGAGTAAACAACTACTTTCAAAGTAATGACCACCCAATGAAACAGAAAAATAACACTTTCAAACCATTAAGGAAATATTCGTAAGTCTTGGAAGTTTCGAACAATTTTGAACATTTTTCTGTGAAAATCGGAATTGACTTCTGAATTGAACCACATCTGAAATGAGTTTTGAAGCTTTTTTTCAATCAAACAAGCCTAATATTTACCACTAAAGAGAAGATTGACTCAAGCAAGTTTTTAACTCTTCTCAGGAAGATGATACTTTACAAAAAGTTTATAGTCTCTAACAAGTTCATGCCTTTCCAAAAGGTTATGATTATTCCAAATAGTGTGAATGCCAATTAATCTCCAAAAGGGTCACGCTTCCATAAGGCTTTGGAGATTCCTGGTTTTCCCAATATGAATAGAGATGTCCAAATTGCCCTCATATTTGCTCATTCAATTCTTTCTTGTTTTTGTTAATCAACAGAGCATTGCAGAGCTTTTAAAGACATTAGAGAATGAATGAATTTCCATCTGTATTTTCTAAGTTATTTATGGATATTGGAGATGCTATTCTTAGGAAGATCTCCTATCCATTAGCAACTTTTGATAACTCTGCATGTTTAGCTGCCGGTGCCCTACTTTCTCCATCCCACCATGACTTTTGATAGAAAATTCCCCAAGTTAAATTGGAAACACATGAATTCATTCACCTACCTAGGAACCTGGAGTTAATGATGATTTCATCTTTCAGCAGAGGGATAAATCCTGCCTCAGAAGGTCTTTCATTATCTGTAAGGGACAAAGTGGAGAGGCTTAAGTCTGAGGATGTGGATGGCATGTCCTACCTAGGGATGAGCATACATGATGGGAATTGATATTGAAAGGACTTCTTCCATAACTATGTTAGTTTTTTTCTGAACATGGTTATTCAACCTCCCTCTAAAAACCATTCTGTATGGTTTGAATATGTATGAAGCACTCTACTTATGATACCTTGTTTTACAAATTCATTGAAAAGGATTGCTGGAGCAAAAGGAATCTTGATACCAGTGGCTGGCCCATATCTAGGTGGCACCTGTTTCCCACTCTAAGGTGGGGCTACAACCCCCTTTCCTCTCCTACGAACATGTCTGGGAAATGCATATGAAAAGGAAAACATAGCCCGAGTACTTATTGACACAGGACTACCCCCAACACCCTGCCAAAAACAAATAGCTGAACAAATAAATGAGCTTTGCATGGAGTATAGCATGCTCAGGGCTGGTGGAAGTCTTCTAATTATGTTCCTATCCTTTGCCTTTTCTCCAAGTTGTCATAACTAATGTTTTACAGATTGGACAGGTTAGATATCTCCCTGTCCAATCTGAGACTGAAAACCAGCAACTTGTAATGGTTTTGAGTAGGCTTGTGCATTTCAGGTGAACCATAATCCATTTCTGCTGGCCAGATTCCAGTAGACTCCCATATCTGTTTTCTGGCACCTCCTGAAAATGGGCGAGTAGCCACACCCAAAAAATACAGCTAGATCTGGCCCATTGGTGGCAATGGGGAACTTATGAGTCTCCCCATTCTGTTCCTAGGACTCTTTCCTTTCTTCCCTTCAAGGGAGCCTGGGTTTCAGCAACAGGGTAAGGGAGGCAGACACAACTTGCATAAGACACATCACTCTTCCATTCTGGTTGGCCCAACAGGCAGGGCTCACAGGGAAACCCCATGCGAGTAGAAGCACGCAGCAGCAGACTCTTTCTGCAGCACATGCTCCTGAAATTGCTCCTGTTCAGAAGCTTCAAATGGTCCAGCATGCGGCAGCCAGGTTACTAACAGGAGCAGTGCTCAGGGAGCATACAACTCCTCTGTTGTGTCAGCTCCACTGGCTGCCAGTTTGCTACCGAACACAATTCAAAGTGTTGGCTTTAGCCTTTAAAGCCCTAAACGGTTCCAGCCCAGCTTACCTGTCCAAACGTATCTTTCCTTACGAACCATCCAGGAATTTACGATCATCTGGGAGGCCCTGCTCTCGATCCCGCCTGCCTCACAGGTGCGCTTGGCGGGGATGGGAGACAGGGCCTTCTCAGTGGTGGCCCCTCGGCTGTGGAACTCCCTCCCCAGGGATATTAGATCAGCCCTCTCCCTCCTGACCAGTAAAAAACCTGGCTCTTTGAGCAAGTTTTTGGTAATAATAGGATAAATATAGTATGATGAAATAACGAATACGGAATGGCTTAGACGATGCAAATGGATAAGGAGTCAAACTGGTAGACGTTAATTATTATAGTTTTAATTGATTTTTATATGGATTTTTATTATGTGATATTGAATGTTTCTAATTGATACATATGTTGTATATGTATGTTATGGCATCTAATTGTTGCCAATCTGTACATCGCCCTGAGTCGCCTCGGGCTGAAAAGAGCAAGATAAAAATGCTGTTAATCAGGGGTCTTCAAACTTTTTAAACAGAGGGCCAGGTCACAGTCCCTCAAAATGTTGGAGGGCCAGATTATAATTTCAAAAAAACATGAATTGAATTCCTATGCACACTGCACATATCTTATTTGTAGTGCAAAAACCACTTAAAAACAATACAATAATTAAAATGAAGAACAATTTTAACAAATATAACTTTATTAGTATTTCAATGGGAAGTGTGGGCCTGCTTTTGGCTGATGAGATAGGATTGTTGTTGTTGATGTGTGCTTTCAAGTCATTTCAGACTTATGTTGACCCTGAGCGAGGGCTGGGTAAATGACCTTGGAGGGCCGAATCCGGCCCTCGGGCCTTAGTTTGAGGACCCCTGACTGTAAATAAATAAATAAATAAATAAATAAATAAACCAGCTGCCACATAATCCCATTATGGACGGGAAACCATGACAGCTGGGCCCTTGCTGTTATGGCCATCTGACCAAGCCGAAGAAGCCAGATTGACCAAAGAAAAATGGCTAAAAGGGATCTGTGCACAAGCTTAGTTTTGAGTCCTGGACTACGAATCTGGAGACCAGGATTCAAATACCACTTAACCATAGAAATCTGTTTGGTGATCTTGAGCAAGTTAGGCTGTCTCAGCCTCAGAGGAAAGCAAGGGTGAATCCCTCTCTGAGCAGATCTTGTCAAGAAAACACCATGATCGTGTCTATTTGGGGTCACCCTAAAATGAAACCAATTGAAGTCACATAACAGCAACAACAGCTATCTGACCAAGAGGAGATTGCTTTGAAGGAAAGAAGCTCTAGCTGACATTGGTGGAGGCAGGGAATATGAGAAGTTTTGAAGCCCTTTATTGACACTCCTAAACTCTTAATCTTGTATCAGTGAGAGCTTAGTCTAGCCTTTGAAATAATGAAATAAAGCCTTGCTTCCTGCTTACATCATTGTTCCAGCTCCCGTTATTTGAAAGACGACCAAATTCCCAAGACACAGATTACTCTGCTGTTACTATGGAGGCACAAAGGAATCTTAAGAGATAATCTCGGCTTCAGTAAACACATTACTGGAAGCTTTTCTCACTAGGCAAGAAACAAAGCAAAGTCTTCCCTTCTCTCTGCCTGTTTGCATTTGGACTGTAAGGGGGAAAGAGTTTTTAAAAACCCTTCAACATTCCACAGTTTTGATCAGAGATCCCTCCAGGGCTACTGACAATTTATGTAACTTTTCCTTTGGATGCTAGTTGAAAAGATTTCAGCATGATACATTGGATAATTGCTACCAACCAGTCTAGGTTGATTCATTAGGAAGCAAATTTCATACTTTTCAGTGGAATCTCATTTCCAAGTAAAATATAAAGGATAGCTACATGTCTGCAACTCTGAATCCAAAATTATGTTTTGCTGTGTGTCTGTTTTATTTTACGTTCTTTGTATTCCACCCTTCTTCTGTCATATCACCATACTTTGGTAGTGTTAAAATAAACCAATGCACATTTTGACATACCGTATATTCCGGCATATAAGACGACTGGGTGTATAAGACGACCCCCAACTTTTCTAGTTAAAATATAGAGTTAAGAATATACTCACCGTATAAGACTACCCCTCTTCCAACACACACCAAATAAATTTTTTAAAAGCATCAGATTTGATTTCAATATGGTAATTTTCCTATTACTGTACCTCCTTCTCTGCCTCTCAGATCTCGCACCTGCGCACCTGCACTGCTTCACAGCAGTCTTCAGGAGTGAGGGCATTGCCCACAAGTGTGAAGCTAGAGGTTAACGTAATGCTTTCATGTTGGGGAAACTTATTTAATGATCTGGTTGAAGGGCATTCTCTGTCAGTCCAATGTTGCTTTTACCCTGTTAGCTTCTGTGGAATTACCTTGGCTTTTGCGGAATGCTTCTGGCTCTTTGGGACTTTGATTTTGATCCTGATTTTTGGAGACCTTGTCTTGCTGCCATGGACTCTTGTTTAACCAATGCTAAAGGACTATGCTTCATATTATTTGCCTTTGGAACCTGGATACTTTGCCTTTGCATTTAAGACTCTGTTTTGCCTATTGAACTTTACCTCGTTATTTCTGTTTTGATTTTGCTTTTTCTCAATAAACTACAAAACCTACAGCCTTGGTGTGTGGTGGTGTCTTGAGCAAGGTGAATCTATCCTGAGTTGCGACACTTCCGAATCGAACCACCAGTGTCCCCTACATCCGAAACGAGTTTTGAACCATTTTTTTAATCAAACAAGCCTAGTATCTACTTACCTACCTACCTATCCATTCACACACATACACCCAATGTATAGCGCTTATTCCAGTTTACATAATTCTTCTTGGTTTTAGGGGTGAGTGATGCATAAACCTGTTAGTCTTGTGGCTCTTTTAGGATGTAAGATATGGCACTTACTGGTTGCAATGCCAAGGAGCACATAAGTCTCTCGTTCCCCCAGAAGCTCAGCTGCAGAGTGGTGCTTGTTTTGGAGTAAATTCTTTACTTGGCCACTCTCATCTGCTAAGTCTATTTCTTCTGCAAAGCAAAATTTGAGCGCTAGATACATTTGCTTGGCATGACAACCATTATCTACATGAAATTTTGCTAAGTACAAGATTACAGACACTTCCCCTAAGAAGCAAGCTATATGGAAAAACAGGAAAAGAGTGCAGGAAAAAAGAGGAAAACAACATTTATCTATTTAAGATAACTAACTATCCAATACATGAGAATCAGTATGGTGTAGTGATTTGAGTGTAGTAGTAGTAGTAATGAATCCTCTTTGAGTCCCTTTGGGGACATAGAGTAGAATATAAATAAAGTTTTAATAATAATAATAATAATAATAATTCATATCCCACTTTTTTCCTGATAATATATTCAATGTGGCTAACTACATATTAGAAACAATATAAGTGGATGAAGAGTGTGGGAAACAAGGATCAAATTCCAACTTGGTCTTGGAAATCATGATCGTTTGCCTTATGTGTTATTTTCCTTCAAGGTGAATGTTTTTGACAATGGCAATATAAGTGGATGAAGAGTGTGGGAAACAAGGATCAAATTCCAACTTGGTCTTGGAAATCATGATCGTTTGCCTTATGTGTTATTTTCCTTCAAGGTGAATGTTTTTGACAATGGCATTCAAAATTCAAAATTGATACTTACTATACTTCAGTTGGTTCAACCACATCAGTACATCCCAAGATGAGACACTTCTCTCATATACAGTGGAAGGAAAAGTATCAGAATGTTTTGATATTTTTTAGTCACTGTACCTTCATCTTCACAGCCACAGCGACGTTTAATGCCGTCTAGGAGAATCTGGACTTGACAATGAATGTTAAAAATATCTGCTTTGTGTTCTATGAAGAAAAGATAGAGAATAGTATTTGGATTTCATTGCTTTATTCTTTTTGTTTAAGGATGCCCTGTATAAGTAAGCCTACATTATACTACCATGAAAGAGAGAGATGCAGGGTTGCCAAGAAAGTACCCAAAAATTGCACTGCCAAGGAATCTTTACTGGCAATGTCTGGTGCTTATAGAGAACATTTTAAAGATTTTGGTGACTAGAAGCAAAAAATGTGGCCCGGTTTCTGTTGTCATTTACCAACATGTCACCATCCTCTGAAGGTGCCAGCCACAGATGCAGGCAAAACATCAGGAGAAAATGCTGCTAGAACATGGCCATACAGCCCGGAAACCACACAACACTCCATGCCAACTTGACTAGGGTTCTTGGAGACCTTTCATTCATGGGATCACCCTGGTCATCAATTGCTCTGCTCAGGTGTTCAATCTGTGGCTTAATTCCTTGATCCAATACCTGTGTGATGGGTCCTTTCTCTTTCCCTCCCACCTTCCACTTTATCAAGCATTATTGCCTTTCCTAATGAGTTATGTCATTCCGTGATATGTCCAAAGTACAACAGCCTGAGCTAAGTTGTCTTAATTTTTAACAAGACCTCAGGTCTGACTTGCTGTAAAACAGTGTTTCTCAACCTAGGGGTCGGGACTCCTGTGAGGGTCATGAGAGGATGTCAGAGGGGTCTCCAAAGACCATCAGAAAATGCAGTATTTTCTGTTGATCATGGGGATTCTGTGTGGGAAGTTTGGCCCAATTCAATCAATGATGGGGTTCAGAATGCTCTATCATTGTAGGTGAACTATAAATCCAGGCAACTACAATTCCCAAATGTCAAGGTATATTTTCCCCAAACTGCACCGGTGTTCACATTTGGGCATATTGAGTATTCATGCCACGTTTGGTCCAGATCCATCACTGTTTGAGTCCACAGTAGTCTCTGGATGTAGGTGAACTACAACTCCAAAACTCAATGTCAATGCCCATCAAAACCTTCTAGTACTTTCTGTTGATCATGGGAGTTCTGTGTGTCAAGTTTGGTTCAATTCTATCATTGGTGGAGTTCAGAATGCTCTTTGATGGTAAGGCAAACTATAAATCCCAGCAACCATAACTCCCAAATGACAAAATCCCCCAAACCTCAGCAATATTTAAATTTCGAAGCATTGGGTGTTCGTGCCAAATTTGGTCCAGTGAATGAAAATACATCCTGCATATCAGATATTTACATTATGATTCAGAACAGCAGAAAATGACAATTATGAAGTAGCAACAAAAATAATGTTATGGTTGGGTGTCACCACAACATGAAGAAATGTATTAAGGGGTCACGGCACTAGGAAGGCTGAGAAACACTGCTGTAAATACTCATGGCATTTGCAGGATTCTTCTCCAGTGCTACATTGCAAATGGCCATTGTGTGTAGGAGTTCTTCAGGATGTTTGTAGGAGTTCTTCAGTCCCATCCACCTAGTCCCACTTTGGTAACTGTGTCCACAAAGGACAATTTTGGACAGGTTTCATTGCTGACTAATCTAGTTCTTCGTGGATATGTTATTACAAATTCCTTATAGGTATTAAGATAGTAAGGTTGTATAAAGTGCTTTGATTGTCAGGAAGCCTGTGATTCTATGCCACGCATTGCTGTGTCACATGTTGCTGTGGCCCAGTCTGTGTATGTGTTTTATGTGTGTATGCATGTGTATAAGTTTTGTGCATGCATTACAATGTATTATTTATTTATTTTTTTGCTTTTTAAGTCTCTTCCACTGTGTTTTTCAGTGTTTTATAAGTGACTAGCCATCCCCTGCCACGCGTTACTGTGGCCTACATGGGGGTTCTGTGTGGGAGGTTTGGCCCAGTTCTATCGTTGGTGGGGTTCAGAATGCTCTGTGATTGTAGGTGAACTATAAATCCCAGCAACTACAACTCCCAAATGTCAAGATTCTATTTTCCCCAAACTCCACCAGTGTTCACATTTGGGCATATTGAGTATTCGTGTAGAGTTTGGTCCAGATCCATCATTGTTTGAGTCCACAGTGATCTCTGGATGAAGGTGAACTACAACTCCAAAACCAAAGGACACTGCCCACCAAACCTTTCCAGTATTTTCTGTTGGTCATGGGAGAACTGTGTGCCAAGTTTGGTTCAATTCCATCGTTGGTGGGGTTCAGAATGCTCTTTGATTGTAGGTGAACTATAAATCCCAGCAACTACAACTCCCAAATGACAAAATAATAATTTTTGAGTGATGGTCACTCCTTGTGTTGTGAGACATTTTGTTGCCAAATTTGGTGTGATTTCGTTCATTGGTTCTTTTGTTTTAAGGTACTCATTATGCACAGAGCATTTATATATATATATATATATAATTTAACTTTAACTCCTGATGCAGTTTGGGGGCAATGACAGGTGATGATGAAGGTTGTAGCACAGAGTATTTATCTATATATAGATGGTCACTCGTTGGCCTGATAGGTATATTGTGTCCAAATTTGGTGTCAATTCATCCAGTGGTTTTTGAGTTCTGTTAATCCCACAAACGAACAATACATTTTTATTTATACAGGTTATTAAAAGGGACTCCTAGAGACTTGGTCCAACATTGGCAACCTCCAAATGGAAATGCTTTCCCTTACTCCTAAATTTTCTGCAGCGGTAGAGGCCAAAAAGTTCTGCCTATATGTTTCACATACCTTGCCCAGAAGTGGAATTATGCTTCTGGGAAGCTTCTCGGGCCACATTTCTGGTTTTGAACAAGATAAAAGGGGAGTATGGAGGTTGTTTTAAAGAACATACTGGTTTTTGGGGCAACCGTTATGGAAAATTCAACAGGAAAGTTACAGAGGGGAGCATAGAAATGGATTCATACTGGCCACTCCAAACAAAGCCCAAAGCTAGAAGATCGCTTACCTCCATGAAGCACAGTGATGAACATTTTTGTTCAGGACCTAAAGGATGAAAAACAAACACAGGTGAAACCAACCACAATATCAATACATCCACTCAGAAAATGACCCAAAATTGAAAGCAGGGAGATGGGAAATATAACAGTTATGTTTCAAATGTAGATTTTTTACTTAGAGAAGGTTACACTTACCCCTATTTAACATGCCATAATAACAACAACACGGGAGTGAGGCTTAACAATATAACCACAAAATATCCTTTAACCTGAGCCAACTATAATTACTCATTTTTCAAGAAAATACGACAGTGACATTGTACTAGCAAGTAATCCCAAATTCAACAGCACTGTGTACGGATTTGGCTCAGTATGTCAAGGTAAAGCATTATGGACGGGAACAAGCCTATTACCTCGTTCCCTGAATTCTGTATTAGTTTTGTCAAAGAAAGCAATACCCAGAATGATTATACGTTGTAATGCCAAATTCAACACCACAGTGTATACCAATGTTACTCAGCATCATGGGAGGAAGAAAAACTATGACATTCCCTAAATCTGGTACAACCTTTGCAAAAGAAAGCAATACCAGGAACTGTTTCCCAGGCAGTTGTTTACTGGAAAGAGAATTAACTTGTCTTGGTTGCTGGGTGCCACCCAGGTTTCTTTTCTTTTCTTTTCTTTTTTAATGGTGACCGACTGATCTATTAAAGGGATTGGCATCTTGAGTTCCTTTCATGCTCTAGTCAACAACTTGGAATAAAGAGCTTGATAAACACTTTAAATCTTAGCCAGGAAATAAAGAAAAGCCCTCCGCTCTTTAATATTAGTTGTGTAAATGTTATCTCAGCAGCCATGAAAGAGAGAAGGAGGGACAGATAAATAACATTGCCTGCTTTTAGAGTGCGCCATGTTACTAAACTGGCCCTCAGCCAGAATAATTGTTTCCTTATAGTAACTCTATAAGGAAAAGTAGGTTAGAGGAAATGCTTGGCGATGTGAGCTGCATTTGGATATAGGGAGCAACAACAACACCACCATTATTCTATTTTAGTTATCATGTTTTAATTACTAAAATAGTAATCAAAGCTCTATACCAGTGTTTCTCAACCTGGGGGTCGGGACCCCCTGGGGGGGTCGCGAGGGGGTATCAGAGGGGTCGCCAAAGACCATCAGAAAACACAGTATTTTCTATTGGTCATGGGGGTTCTGTGTAGGAAGTTTAGCCCAATTCTCTCATTGTTGGAGTTCAGAATGCTCTTTGATTGTAGGTGAACTATAAATCCCAGCAACTACAACTCCCAAATGTCAAGGTCTATTTTCTCTAACCTCCTCCAGTATTCACATTTGGGCATGTTGAGTATTCATGCCAAGTTTGGTCCAGATCCATCATTGTTTGAGTCCAAAGTGCTCTCTGGATAAAGGTGAACTACAACTCCAAAATTCAAGGTCAATGCCTAACAAACCCTTCCAGTATTTACTGTTGGTCATAGGAGTTCTGTGTGCCAAGACTGGTTCAATTCAGTCATTGGTGGAGTTCAGAATGCTCTTTGATTGTATGTGAACTATGAATCTCAGCAACGACAACTCCCAAATGATAGCATCAATCTCCCCTTCAATCCCACTAGAATTCAAATTTGGGCATATCAGGCATTTGTGCTGAATTTGGTCCAGTAAATGAAAATACATCCTGCATATCAGATACTTAAGTGACGATTCATAACAGCAGCAAAATTACAGTTGTGAAGTCGCAACAAAAATGTTATGGTTGGGGGTCACCACAACATGAGAACTGTATTAAGGGGTCACGGCATTCGGGAGGTTGAGAACCACTGCTCTATACAGTTCCGACCCAGCTTACTTGTCTGAACACATCTGCCTCTACGTCCCACCTCGTGACTTAAGATCATCTGGGGAGGCCCTGCTCTTGCTCCCACTAACATCACAAATGCGGCTGGTGGTGACAAGAGACAGGGCCTTCTTGTTGATGGTCCCCCACCTGTGGAACGTGCTTCCGAACAAGATACGATCAATCCCATCCCTTCTGGCTTTCAGGAATTAAGTAAAATCATGGCTATGGGACAAGGCTTTTGGTCAGCAGACATAAATTAGCACTTTTGTGGAAATGGATTGGAAAGGCGATTTGCATGAGGATATGATTCTATTTGGTAACAAATGTTTTTATATTGTTTAATTAATAGCTTACGTATTTTATGTATTTTAATGGTTTGTTTAATGGTTATTGTATTAATTGTTCATGTAACAGCATCGAATTGCTGCCTATGGAAGCCGTCCTGAGTCTCCCTTTTGGGGTAGAGAAGAGACGGGATATAAATACCAGAAATAAATAATGTCTCTCACACTCTTTCAATCCCTCTAAGAAGCCGTTACCGTAGCAGTATCTCTTTCATCAGACATGCCTACTGTAATAAATCATCACTGTGAGCATTTGTGATGTTTGTCATTAGGACAAACAGTAGCAGTTGACCAACAGAAGTGGAAAAAATAGTGCAGAAATAATTCCATGCATGTGTGCAACTCCACACAACTTATTTGAGTGTCAATCCAATGTAATGCAACTCTGTTCAGTTTGGTAATTTTCACTGTGTAGTGGTTTTCACCCCAACTTTCCAAACATATCACATGCATTCATTACACACCTCAAATTATTTGACCTTTCACAACACCATGTTGGATGGTAAACACATCCATGCAATTTTGCAAACATATGTGTGTGTGCGCATTTCACAAACCAATTCCTCATACATCTGCTCTCACGAAAAGTCATTGGGAGCCAGAGTGATTTGCCTGTTTTTATGTTCGTTTTTCCCATGAGCATTCATCAAACCTAGTTGACATGTCTCCTCCCACAGGGAATTCCCAATTCTTTGGGAACTGACATATGCAAAACAGCAAATCCTCACTTTGTAATTGCTTTGCACCTGCCTGTCTCTCGATTTGTGGTCTTGGCCTATGAGTAACCTCATCACACATTAGTAACCATGAGACATGGAAGCATTTTAGGAAGGATATTACATAAATAATAAATAAACAAGACATTTTTAGATTCTTTGAGGAGAGAAAAAATGGGGTGTAAACAAAACACAAATAAATGAATACATAGCAATACAATCTGTCCCGGCTCACAGTTTAAGATCATCAAGGGAGGCCCTGCTCTCGGTCTCGCCAGCTTGGCAAATGCGTTTGGTGGGGATGAGAGACAGGGCCTTCTCGGCGGTGGCTCCCATCTGTGGAACTCGCTTCTCAGCGAGTTTAGGTCGGCTTCATCCCTCCTGTCTTTCAGGAAGAAACTGAAATCATGGTTCTGGGACCAGGCTTTTAGACAGCAGGCATAATAGCACTTTGGATATGGAATTGGATGGGAATGGCTATACAATTGACAAATATTTTAATTGTTTTTAATTTAATGATTTATTTATTGTTTTAAACTGTTGTTATATTGTTGTATTTGCTTGTATGCCATGGCATCAAATTGCTGCTAAGTGTTAGCCATCCTGAGTCCCCCCATCAGGGGTTGAGAAGGACTGTGTAGAAATGTTGGAAATAATAATAATAATAATAATAATAATAATAATAATAATATTTATTTATTTATTTACTTCATTTATATACCACTTTTCTCATCCCTTGGGCGACTCAATAATAATTGCAGACACGAAAGAATGGGGTGGACACTGGCAAGAGGGAGGCCATTAGAAGCCAGTTACAAAACTGCAGTCGGTCCTCCGCATTGATGTGTTTAGTTTTTGTGGATTTAATTAGTATGTTCTGTCTAAAAATTTCTAGGATCGCACTATGATCAATCTCTACCAGAGGTTGACCAGAGTGTGGTGCTAAAAGACCTTGAGATTCCTAGAGGGATCACTTTCCTAGGTACTCGTAGGTTCTGCAGTGCAAGTCTGTGGTCAACGTCTAGCACAGGTTGACCACAGTGTCATGACAGAGGACCTAGACATGAATACAGAAGTGTTCTCTCACAGGAAAATAATAGTTTTTAAATATAATCTTTCTACTTTCATAGGGATCCTGCTCTCTTCAACTGAGTGAATGTGGGGAGGACCTACCGAGAAGACAGTTCCATCTTGTCTCCTGTGACATCAGAGCCCTTCCCCCAGCACCAACGGCCACTCTGGGGCCAGGGCAAAGAAGGGAGCTGAGAAGACAATTCCATCTTGTCTTTTGTGACATCAGAGCCCTTCCCCAAGCATCAACGGCCAATCTGAGACCAGAGTAAAGAAGGGAGCCGAGAAGACAATTCCATCTTGTCTCTTGTGACATCAGAGCCCTTCCCAAGCACCAACGACCACTCTGGGGCAAGAGTAAAGAAGGGAGCCGAGAAGACAATTCCATCTTGTCTCCTGTGACATCAGAGCCCTTCCCCAAGCACCAARGGCCACTCTGGGGCCAGAGTAAAGAAAGGGAGCCGAGAAGACAATTCCATCTTGTCTCTTGTGACATCAGAGCCCTTCCCAAGCACCAACAGCCACTGGGGCCAGAGTAAAGAAGGGAACCGAGAAGACAGTTCCATCTTGTCTCCTGTGATATCAGAGCCCTTCAGAGCCCTTCCATCTTGTCTTTTGTGACATCAGAGCCCTTCCCCAAGCACCAACGGCCACTCTGAGACCAGAGTAAAGAAGGGAGCTGAGAAGACAATTCCATCTTGTCTCTTGTGACATCAGAGCCCTTCCCAAGCACCAACAGCCARTTTGGGAAGGGAGCTGAGAATACAGTTCCATCTTGTCTCCTTTGACATCAGAGCCCTTCCCCCAGCAACAACGGCCACTCTGGGGCCAGAGTAAAGAAGGGAACTGAGAAGACAGTTCCATCTTGTCTCCTTTGACATCAGAGCCCTTCCCCCAGCACCAACGGCCACTCTGGGGCCAGAGTAAAGAAGGGAGTCGAGAAGACAGTTCCATCTTGTCTTCTGTGACATCAAAGCCCTTCCCCCAGCACCAACGGCCACTCTGGGGCCAGAGTAAAGAAGGGAACTGAGAAGACAGTTCCATCTTGTCTTRTGTGACATCAGAGCCCTTCCCCCAGCACCAACGGCCACTCTGGGGCCAGAGTAAAGAAGGGAGCCGAGAAGACAGTTCCATCTTGTCTCCTGCGACARCAGAGCCATTCCCCCAGCAACAATATAATATTATATAAGACTAATATTATGAATGATGTATTAGTACTATGCTAATAATATAGTGTGTTGTATGTACATGTGACTTGTAAGCCACTCTGAATCCCTTTCGGGGTGAAAAGGGTGGCATATAAATGTCGTAAATAAATAATTACTATCATAGTTTGTAAAAGTTAGGAAAGAACAGGGATGATGGGAAATCCACTCACTGCCATTGCAAGGACCCCTTACCAAACTTTCAAATACTTTTAAGAACCAAAATAGTGCTATCTTCTCATCAATACTGTAAAACCCATCCACTGAAATTATTTGGTGGGTAACATTTAAGCCCCTAAAAGAGCCATTTCCAATCTACTACAGAAGGAGATGCTCTTTTGATTCACTTCTTCTGTGTAGCTTAAACCTAGAGCTGCACGTAAAATTCCAAGGGGTTCACTGGAGTATTTCAGCCAAAGGGTTGGTTGCCCACAGAACAAGACAACACAGTCAACCGAAAACATCTAACGGATGCTCAGTTCAAAGTTGCTTTTCCTTAGCTGTTGAGCTGATAGTCACTGCTGATTTCCAAGTGATGCCAGTTCTGATTCTACATCTCTGATCCTCTGTTCAATGAGGCTTTTTTTAATTTCTAGAAGCAATCTTTGGTCCTTCTTGGCAATCCAAAATTCAAGAAGTTCTGAGAAGTGATGGGCTTTCTTCTCAGGAAGTCCACTAGAAGGCTGTATAATAAGGTAGGAGAGAGAGGGCAGGAAAAAAAATAAAGCTAGTAAATTTGAAATCGTGGATGAGATGTGATATTGGAAACTGGGGATTTGATACAATCCTTTCCAGTTTCTTGCATTTGTAATTAATGGTGGAAGAATCAAAAATATCATAAGGATAGAAACAAGTTGTCCAGTGTGATCAACTATAAACAGAAGGAATTAGTTAGTTATGCTGACCACACCAGGACTGTGGCACAGCTGGCTGGGTGTCAGCTACATTAAGATCACTACTGACCAAAAGGTCATGAGTTCAAAGCCAGCCCGGGTCGGAGTGAGCTTCCGGCCAATTGTGTAGCTTGTTGTCGACCTTTGCAACCCGAAAGAGAGTTGCATCTGTCAAGTAGGAAATTTTGGTACCACCTATGTGTGAGGAGGCTAATTTAACAAATTTACGAGGCCATAAAAAATCTCCAGCAAAAGCATGTGGGGAATGCGGAAAGTACTTCATCAGTGTCGCAGATGGACCGTGAAGCAACAGCTCCCCTGGTGGCCAGAAAATTGGAATGTTAAATAGCCTCTGACTGTCTGTCGATATGTGTTGTGTGTCTATGGCATTGAATGTTTGCCATGTATGTATGCATTGTAATCCATCCTGAGTCCCCTGCAGGGCGAGAAGGGCAGAATATAAATACTGTAAATAAATAAAATAAACAACTCCCATCACCTGCTGTTAGGGAAATGAGGAATGTTTAGACTTGTAGTCCAACTACATCATGAAGGCCATTGGTTTGCCATATCTAACAAATAGCATTGCACAGTTGCTGGAGACACATGTTCATAGCTTAGTCGCTCTGTTGAAATGTTATGTGGCAATGAGGGAATGCCAATGTTTACAGGACTTAATGAAGAAATATCTGTCCCACTTGAAGATGCAGGATGGATGACTACCAGAAAGACAGGTATGATAATCTTCAAATAATAATAATAATAATAATAATAATTATTATTATTATTATTATTATTATTATTTGAAACACAA